TTCACCTCGCAGAAGCCTCCATCGTTAAACCGCCATGCGGTTTTGCTTAAACATGGGCTTCGCAAGGGATGTCGCATCAGGGCTTGTGGTTGATCTTGTCGATTTGGCCGTGGGACTTCGCTCAGAGGTTTATAGTGGTTGGTCTTTTGCGACAGGATGTTGCTTCCAAAGGCTTCGCAATAGATGCCCTATGGTCTGTCGTGGCTGCCATGGGGATTTTGAAACTGCATTCGCGAGGGATTTACCGTCAGGGTCCGTAGCGGCAGGTCCGTGTGACGATGTGATTGTGAATGTATTCCCCTTGTGGTTTTGGAAGGATACCTAGTTTTGCTTTGGTGGGGCGTATGTTTGCACGGGACATGCAAGGAACCCTGTTCTCCGAAGAAAGGCAGGTGGCAACAAGTTGAATCCCCTGTAAGTTGCTCAATTTGCATCATGTTCTTCTGGTGAGATGGGGTTGGCAGTTGGCTCAGCTGCAATGTTGGACTATCCCCTGAAGTGATGTATGGAAAGGGTGCCCTTTGAGGAAAGAGTAGTGGAAGTTGTTAATCTTGGGGCTTGAGAAGCCAAAGCGGAAGGTTGCAACGCTAGTGAAAACCCAACACATGCTTTTAGTGCGCGTGTCGGGGGGGTTGAGCTTCCCCCCCAACCCTTCTCCCACCGTCACCACCCCCACTCCACCCCGAAACTCCACCTCTAATCTTTCAAGTTTCCACGGGCTCACGCCGTGCAAGGGCATGCCGGGGCCAGCATCAAGAGGCTCTTGATTTGACACATGATGACATTCACTTCCATCTACTTAAGGTAATGTGTTGGTTTCCCTGTTGGTTTTATCCCATGACAGTTAGATATGTTGGTATGTGGCACTCAATGCCAACAGACCGTGATGTATTCTGCAGGTGGCAAACTATTGCCGAATTATCATGCTGTCAGTTGGCACGATGTGCTTTGTTCTTTGGGGGGGATCAAAAGTATTGGGTCTTTTTGGACCATGATGCCGCCTTGCGCCACCTGTTAAATCACCCACTGATCGCGGGGGATGCCAGACCACCCATTGGAGACCCATCACTGTGCGCTTCCATCCAGCGTGAACGTGGATAGCAGGGGATGAAAAACCATAGGGGGTGGTGGTGCTGAATCTACTTTCATCCAGCTGTAATACGTACTCAGCCTGTTGTTTTTCCCTCCCCTTTGAACTAACTTGTTTGAGTCGGGCAGCTCAGTAGACCCAGGGGTTTGCCTTCCCTGGTGAGTTGAAAGCAAGTTTTGCCTCAAATCCAAAACATCACCAAGTTCACAAATTCTACTGAGGACGGAGCAGGGGTGAAACTAGCGGTACCGGGCTCCATGATGAGACTTATTTTGGGGGTTGTTTTGGCGTTTCTTGATTCAGGCTGTCCTTTCGGTTTCTTTTTGGGTCCTGGTGACGCCTTGTGCCACCGAAAAGGGCCCCAAATTTTGACCCCCAAAGTGGAGGACGGTCTTCCTTTTCTCGCCGGTGCTCAGTAGGGGATGAGACATGGAATGCACTGTTTTGGGCGTCGATCGCAAGTTTTGGGATGCCACTCGGCCAACTTGCCGCCGTCCATTCCTTCGTTCCTTCCGAGGATCTCCTCCGCCAGCTCCTGAGACGTCCGCTTCCCTCGCTGAGGAGTTCTCAAAATTCTGGACATCGAACCCAAACAAAGTCCAATGCACGGAGAAGAGTGTCCACATGGGTATGTGTTCAAAATAAGAGGCCAAATGTTGTGGTTTTTCTTTGCGTTTCCCTTGAACACCTCCCCAAACAGGGTACTCTCCAAAGACGCACCACCCCATATTCATTGGACGCTCGGTCCCGGGTCCCACCGTTTGGAGCAAGAAAGCGTATTAGGCTGCAGGCTACGCCCCTCATTTCGCTTTGTTAGGCACTTTTACAACCCAGACCTCCGTTGGACGCTCCAGAGGTGTTTGTCTCGAAACCTCGCAGCTTAAGGCCCCAAAATCAATTAGGAGCCTCTGGGAAGTTGGATTTGCCAGAGTGTCCAAGTCTGGCCAAAGTTCGTGCTTGAGCTGAGCGCTTTCGGCCGGCTCTGAAGCAAGGCCCCGGCGAGAATGGCAAGTGCTTTTGCCAGATTTACTCTTCAGAATGCACGCAGCGCCTGAACATGTTGCCCATAGTGAGGTCTTGATTGGAGCCTGCCCTTCCCACTAAGATCACCACACACAACAGTGTGAAAGACCTTGTTTAAGTAGCAGTGCTTGAAAAAACATGTCCATCTACCAAATGAGTGGGTTCGGGTGGAATTAGAACCCATGGGCAGCGACTTTCTTGATTCTGGCACTGTCATCATGGGTGCTTTGTAGGGATACACCGCTTTTGGCCCAAGCTACAGCTGCCATTTGTCCAGCCACCGGGGGGGGGGGTTGGTTTCCGAGAAGTTTGGGGGGCCTCCCCCAACTGCCAACGTTAGATTGGTACATCAGCGTGAAGACGAAGAGGCACACTTGAGGACAGGTCGTTGGTCAACGGTTGGGCCGATCTTGCATTTTTGTCCTTGACTACAAGTATCTACAAGTAGGATTTGTGTAACCAAGGTTCAGGGTTAAACTTTGAGTCTTCAGCACATATTTGATGGGGCCTGTGGTTCGTCATCAAGTTCCTACAAGAGCACGGTTCACACCAGGGCGCCGATCCATTGTTCAGCGTCTACTATCCGCTGGTTGGGTCTTGGGCGAGCCCAAGTGACGATTCCTCCCACAAACTGACGTTTTTTGGACGCGTATCAGCTGGCAAACTCCGTGGTCGGCTCAGGCAGACACGCGTGCGGAGATGCGGGTCACCCAGCTCAAGCGAGGAGGCTGGACGGAGAGGGCAAAATGTTGAATGCCGCTATCCCGCAGGTTGGATTCAGCATTTCTGGATCCACTTGTACAACCGGAATCGGCTACCATTGTCCAGCAATCGCAATCATGGAAGTGGACAAGATGTGGGGGGACCCAATGTCATCCGGTGTCCGGTTTGCTGAAAGAGCGGTTGGCCCAAGTTGCGATCCATTGATTCAGCCTTAAAACGGGGCTGCTCAACGGAATCAACTTTCTGAAGGGTCGAGCTTTCCCTTCCCCAAATCAATGTTGTAAGGACTGGGATAAGGACACCAGCCGGAAGTCTCGTATATCCCCATGTTCACGAGTATGTTGCCCGGATATAGGGAAAGACGCTTAAGCCAATCCTTGGCTTCCTTGGCATACCCACTGGTCGGCGTGGGCCGCAGGAGTGCGTCCAGCCTCGGTGCTCTCGCGGGCATGAACGCTGTGGCGCCCTGTTGTCTCTTGCTTTTGGGCAAAGTTGGGGTTGGAGATAAGCCAACAGAAACGGATGTTTGTATGTTTTGGTTCTTTTCCCCTTGTGCTTTAGAACATGGTCACATCTGTTCTTTTCCGCTTTTGTGCCGTTTAAAGTGCTCACGCTTTTAAGATCACACACAACGCGCGGTTAAGCTGTTCGCCTAAGAAACGACGGGGGATGGACATGATCTGTGTCCCCGACTTCAAGCCCGGGAAAATGACAGCTGCACTCGCCCGGCCTGGGGCGGCTTCCGCTAGGAGGCCCATGTTAGTTTAGTTAAAGGAGAGTCACCAATTTGAATTTGGGGTTCCCTTGTTCGACAGAGACCCATGCCTTCAAAAGACAGGCCCTCTCTTGCATGGCAATGCTTGTGTTGAGTGAGAACAGCTTTTCCGGGGTGTTTAGCTAGTTTTCCGGAGAACTGTTGCTTTCATGGCCAACCCGTTTTCACAGTGACAGGTCTCAGGTGAGCCGTACTGGGCATTTGTTTTGGTTGGTTTGGGGATCGGAACCCCTGGTTCAGAGTTCAGAGGGTAAATGGGTTAAGCCGCAACCTCCAAACCACCAATGCACACCACCAGTTAGAGGGAAGCTGGAGATTTCTGGTATCAAGGGTAGGGCTTGAAGACTTTGACTTGCTGGGTGCGTGCCAATTCAAAGGCTGCCTGTGAGAGATGCAAGATTGCACATGGTTCATTTCGCACAACCATCACGAAGCTGTTGGGATGACATAGCTGCGTTTTGAAGTGGTGATAGCTTTCAACGAAGTTAGCAACTTGTCCGACAAGAGTTCACAGACAGCTGAAATCATCAGCGCCCTTGCTGCAAAAAGTAGCAAAGGCCCAGAAATGTGGCTGCGACTCGCATTTGCAGCCTGCTAGCTTCCATAGAATGTGAATGACCCCTCGATATGGACCCTTAGCTGTTGCTAGCGAGCAGCCCGACAAGAAAGCTTTGTGCATGTTCATATCCTTTTCAACAGATGGCCATGGTTCAAAACCAATGGTACCATTTTGGGGTAGGTGCACCACCCATTTTAGCCTATTGGGATTGGGATGTTCACTGGGGGTACGGCCTTTTGACCCATGGCCAGATAGGCGTTGGGGTTGTGCAAGGCCGAGGGTCCATTGGCAAGGCGCCATTTGGCGTTTTCCAGAGGCTGTATGGAGCTCGCCCGGGTTCAAATATGCGACTGCGCCCGCGTTGGTTTGGCACGTGCCTTATTGCCTCCCTGGCACGGCGGCGGCATTGGCTGCCTGCTGAATTCCTCCCTGTTCAGCCGCATGAAACTTTTGCTGCAAGGTCGTCTTCATGACTTCAGCCAAGGCCAGAACAGTTTGCGTCAGCTTGTTGGTTTCCCGGCCAGTTAACACAGATTGTCAGATGCATCATCACTTGCCTTTCTTCTGATGCAAGCCAGGCAAAGGGTCAGCTAAAAGGCCTTTTGGTATCGACGTGGGCGATTGGTTTCATTTCCGGACCTAGCGAACCGTTCTCTTTAGTTTGCCCTTGTAGGCTTCTTTAGCTGTCAATTTTAATCCAGCGGGGGTAATCAGAGGACCCTGAACGGGTCCTAACAACCCACTCGCGCTTTTGGAACCAAGAGCAAATGTGCAAGAAACCGGGAGGAACCCAGTGGTTACATGGGAATCTGCGACATTTGGCCCTCTGCAGCTTTAGCAAGGCCGACGGCCATGCTTCCTGTACTATGCACCCACGTCAAGGGCCTGTCTCTGCCGCGTCTTGAGGACGTCCAGCTTTTTCTTCGGGGGTAGAGCTTGGGTCACCCAAAGGGAGCTGCCCTGCTCACCTTTTGTTTGTTTGTTGTTGTTTGTTTTCTTGTTCCTTTTCTTTTTGGGGGGGGGAGGGGGGCGGGGGGTGCATTCGGAACAAACACTGGGCTTTGCTCTTGGTATGTCTTGTTTGCTTTGGGCGAGTTTTTTTTTTGTTTTTTGAAGGATCGGACATGGCAATGTCCTGCTTTTCTTGAGACAGGGCATGACCTCTGAAGCACAGGTCCTGCAGCGCAAGCGGTTCAATCTTTTTCTGGGCCACTTTGAGACCAGTGTTTTTCTGGTCAACAGAAGAGGCACTGGGTGATGTCTTAGAGGGGTTGGTTTTGTGATTTTTCTTTTTCGGGACCTTTTGGCCTCAACGTTTCTGGGAACATCTGTGGGGAGCCCTGCCTTTTCGGGGCTTCGAGGACTCGTTGCTGGCCAATGACTGGGGCCCCGGGTGCATGGTCTGGGACTACTGGGTCCGGCACGAGGCTCGCGGGCGAGACCCAGTTGAACATGTGGCAACACGGCATTTCAAAAGGGTTCAGCAAGAGATGCGCTTTGGCCGCTGGTAGAATTTCACATTTTTTCCAGCTGTTTTGCAAGATCCCGATCCGAATCCTTAAGCAGGTGCTTTTTGGAGGTATCTGTTTGTTGTTGTTTTTGCTCACGCCGCCACTAACGGCGCGGAGCATTTCGCACATTTTTATACGAACACGTCCCACCGCCTTTCCCGCTGTTCTGGTCGACGCTTTGATGACTTTGGTGGGGTGGGGTGGGGTGGGGTAATAACGTACGGGGCGCAAGTTACTCGGATGCCTGCTGTTGTGTGGTTTAGTCGCAAGTTTAGTCCCGGACGCAGTATCACGCAGGCCGAATTTGGACGTTTATATTTCCTAGCACGTGTCATCGAATCTTGCTAATTGCGATTGGTCCGCCGAAGGCTCCAAGACTATAACGTACACTTCAGTTCTGTGAGCCATAGTTTGCTGCAGTTTGCCAAGAATGTTCTCTTGCCTCGGGATCTTTGAAAGTTTGGAAAGCCGTGCAGAGGTGGCTGCCACCTTGTGTCATTCTAAGAAGAAGGGCGGGCTGAATCCCGAGCGATGGCGATATTCGCATAACTACCAATGGCGGCACAACACGCGTGATTGCTTACAGGAAGCAATGCCGTAGTTATTTCTTGCTCAGAAATCCTGATTGGGCGTTCGTCAGGGTTGTGAATTCCTCCGCGCCGTTAGTGGCGGCGTGACCTTGAAGATCCCCAACCCCCGCCCCCCCCCCCCCCCCCCACCCCACCCCAGTTCATGGGCAGGGGTCCACATTCATGAAGCTTCCCTTTTTAACGCAATTGCTTCCTTTTGTGGGCAACTGGAACATCATGCGTAACCAGAGGCTGCACGAGTTCGAGCAAGTGGTAGCCGAGGCCTTTTTTGGGGACAGTAGATTGAAAGGGGAGGCAAAAGGAAAGCAAGTCTTGGGGGGAGTGCCGCAGTTTTAATACATACCCCTTACTATCCCTTGCCTCAAGTGTGGAAGCCCTCTTGGACGTTTGTTGTTGAATTGTCCAATTAAAGACCATGTCAAGTTCCGTGGGTGGGAGGGCCAAAGAAGGGTCTCGGTAGTTCTGTCGATTCTCGTATGGTCATGACACTTGGTGAAAAGCGCCCCCCTCGACCCCTTTCCAACTGCTTAGGCAGTGGATGGACTGTGTTTTCGAACTGTCGTTCTACCCACCCGCTTGTTTGTTTCCTTTTTTTTCTTCTTCTTTTTCTGCTGGAAACATCAGCCACAGGGGCTTCTACAGGAAGTTGGCCAAAGACCCACCAAAACCAGGGATGCCCGTGCAATTATTTTCGCTGGTTTAGATCCAGCGCTCAAGAAAGGAACTTTTTGAATTATCCTCAAGATCCAGAGAATTGTGCCATCCATGGGTCCACCCTGTTTGGGTGCATCGAGGCAGGCCAAGGTTGTTCTGAGTGTTGCGCAGGCCCGGGAGCTGACGGTGGACCCTTGGCATTGGGACACTCCCCCGGAGCCAGCGACGCGCATGGTGACCGGCAAGAGGAAGGAGCGGTGACCGGCGAATGGACCTCGAGGGGAGTTTGGGGGGGGGTGAATCCTCAGATGAGTCACAATCAAAACCCGCGGGGAAGTGAAGGTTAGTAAGGAACAGTCCCAGCCATGGTTGCGGCCGCCTTCTTAATTCTTTACATGGTTCTGGGTCGACCATTTTAATACCAGGTTTTGATTGTCACTCAGATTGGGGAGGAACCGGATGAAGGGAAGGAGGCGAGCTGCTGGCATTTTAGTCATTCCATTTCCCCTTTTGGGCCGAAGACTTGCATGATGAACTTAGAGATCCCCAGAAAAGGAGCTGGATTTCATGGTGGGGCCACCCCCTTGTTGAACATGTTTGAACCACTACTAAGTTCCAAAAACATGCTTTAGGCTACCCTTTTGAAGGTTGCTAAGCCTGCCAGGTGTTGTAGGCTAGCCTTTTGAAGGTTGCAAGGGGCTGGGTTTCTTGCACATTCGCTTTCCAACCCTGCAGTGTTAGACTGTTGCTCCTTCTTGTTTCCGCGTTCGGCGAGGTGGCCATGATCATGCCGGTGCCGGCGCAGCCCATGTGCCCGCCGGAGACACGGGTTACGGTGAACTACACCGTCTCTTGGGCTTGGAATATATTTATTTGTTGTTTTTTGCAGTGTTTCTTTGTTCAACTTGGTGGTGTGTTGCGTGTTTTTGTTCTTGTGTTGTTTGTGTGTGACTGCGTGTGCGTGTGTTTTCTTGGCTCTGGCCAACTTGTAGTGTTGGGGTGGACGTTAGTAGTTGTTTGTTGCTTGGAGGTTTTGGATAGGTTTTGGATAGGTTTTGGGTAGGTTTCCAGGTTCCTAAGGTAAAGCATTGAAATAATGCATTTTTTGCCGTTTCGAGGCAGACCAAGGTTTCCATGTGGGCATGAATTTTAATCAGGGACCCTCTGGTGGACATCATTTAGGTGGGGCTTCATGTCCACCAACCAACCACTTTCCAAGGGGGTTCATGTAAGTTCGTGGCCATGTAAGGGACATAAACCCCCCCACCTAAATGATGTCAGAGGGCCCCTGATGAAAATCCATGGCGTTTTGGTTTCGATTTTGGCTGGCAAACCCAAGGTGCTGCGGATTTTTTCGTGGCTTCGGGCCGAGGTCTCCCTGGCCCATGACGAGCAGGGCAGGGACCATTTGTCGGTGAAGTCCTCGGCGGTGTCCCACGACGTGCCGTACGGGGACTGCTTTTGAGGGAGGATGTATGGGCGGAAAGTCGAGGGGTTGAGTCCTGGTCCATTTTAGGGTTTTTGTATTACACTCTGGGATTACACCCTTGGGAAATGACCCAGAATGGCTCAGTTATTCCCAGGGTGTGATACAAAAAAAAAAAAAAAAACTTAGAGTTTCTCAACCATTGTTCTTTTCCAACACCGGATCTGTTTCTGCTGGGTTTTTGATGGTTTCCTGAAAAGAAGAATCCCTGGAAAGAATGGGGAAGGTACCCCTAGAAAAAGAAGCTCACAATGGTGCTTGGGCATCGCTTGCTTCCGGTCAAGAAGACAAGAACTTGGATTTTTGGACAACCAGGAAATCAGGCAGAAATTGCATGGAGGCATTCATGAGGCGTTCATGTGTTTTTCCTTTCTCCGCTCTTCCGACCCCTTTGACCACTAATTTTTCATTAGTCTAAGAAATGGCTAGGAATGAGAAAGAACAAGAGACAAGAATATGCTAGGAATTGATGAAGGCAATAATAAGGAAATCAAAGAGAGATGGACTTCTTGTAGGACCTTTAAGCATAGTCATCCTCTTTTCTTCTAAAGATTATTTGTCAAGGATTCTCTGGTCTACCATGTGCCCGCCCAGTAAAACAAATCGGACAGGGCCGTTCTTCAAGAGGGGTTTGTGCACAGTTATGTTTGTGAGTGGGAGGCTATAAGTTAAGAGACAGAATCCCCACTTGTTCGGATGGGGAACCCAGAAAGCAAACAGTGGTTTACAGTCTTTGTACAATCATGGAAGTTGGGGTGGCGTTGGCACTCTGACAGATCAAATGAGTTTCGCTTAGTCAGCTTGCTCTACTACCGAGCTTACCTTTCCGTTAGGCCACTAAGGATTCCTTGGTCGGAGAATTGTGGCTGATCAGTGCCCCTCTTTCCTTGGACTGTACTGGGCAAAGATATGGCCCTCCTTAAAGGGGGTATTTGGGCAAATAGGCAAAAGACTACAATTGCTAATCGACCCACCAGGACTTCAAACGGGTATTCTATAACAGTGTTCCAGACCCCTTTCGAGAACTCAGCTGGAGAAGCCAGGTGAGGATTGTTCACCAGCCATTTGGGAGGGCTGGTTTTTCATGAAAAGTCATGCCACTTGGCACGACAGGATCACTTCAGCGTAGACGAGAAGATCGAGATGGTCCGGGAGGCTGACGGGGTGCTTGTCACATGGCCAGACTTCAGCCAACTTTCTCACTTTCCCCTGGAGGCTGTGTTCCAAATAGCTTTAGTTTAACCAAAAGGCGACCAAGAGGGGATAGGTATCTATTTTTTCTAGTCCTATTTTGGAGGTCTCCTCCAAAATGGCTTATATTTTTCGCGCAGGCTACAAAATCTGTGAATCAGAATCAGAAGTATTATTTTCCATGGGCCAAGAGTCCGAGACAAGCCATCACTGATGTCAGAAGTTGGACGTCCTTTTGAATGGCGACATGTCGGCCACCTTTTACTTTGCTGTTGGGCTTTGTTGATTTGCCTTTGAGCGAGCAAAGGGGGAATGTTTTTCTGGACGGGGAATTTGGAGAGAAAATACCCCCGTTCACCGCCAGACTGACCCAAGAGTTCTGCTATGGGCGGTCCGCCCGGGTTCTGTCGGATCCGTGGGATGCCCAGGTCACCAAGATGTGGACCGCGGACTTTGTGAAGCGCACCTTCCTGCGGCTCAGCCCCGGCGTGGACGCCACCCATTGGTTTAAACATGTTTAAACCACTGGTTATGATGATTCTTCCCTTGAAAAGGTGGTGTTTAATTCGTATTTTGCCTGCCCAGCTGGTTCCTCATGCCCGGTTTTGTTGCTTGGTCATGTCTGGGCGTCCCCTCAAAGGATCGTTCCTCGAACTGACCCAAGAACCTACCTCTGTTGCCGGTGCACCTGCAATATACCACAGAGGCGCGCACACAGACACAGACATATATGTATGTATTGCATATACAACAAAAACTCTACATTGGCATTGCGCAGAAGTCAATAACCTATTATTTGTTCTATCTATATACATATATTTGTATTTTGGGAAAGGAGACCTCCCCGATCGATAGCAGTTGGCACTACGCGAAGCTGCCATTGACGCTGATGCGTGCAGTGTATATATATATATATATGTGTATAGAGAGATTTGCGTGTGTGTGCATGGGTACGCTGGGTGCATGGTGCCTGACAAACTTATATTTTTGCCTTCAAAGCCGCCATACCTCCAATCGCCTCCACACCTGACATGGTTTGTTCAGGTCTTGCTTGATGCTTAGCGTTTTCAGCTGAGGCGGGGGTTGATCGAGTCCAGGGTCAAGCTCTCGCAAGCAGAGACCTTCCAGCAGTCGAGCCGTACGCCGCGTGTGGTTTTTGGGGCGAGGTTTTAAATTTTAGGGCCGGTAAGGTTGCACTTGGTTTGTAGAAAGGTTTGGGTTGTTTTTTGAGGGTATATTTTTTGGGGTCGCCCCATTTTGCCACGCACCCATTTGGCACATGTTGGCGCCCTGGTTTTCGAAGCTTAGCAAGCTGTCTTCTTGCCTTCTCTTCAAGCATACCGATTGCATATGCTCGAGCACCCTTTGCATCAGGCCCCTCAACCATGGAAAGATTCGGAACTTGCCCTGAGCAGTTTAAGCCGCCCACTCTTAAGACCATATTTAGTGGCAAACACAGCTTTTTGCGGCCACTCCAAGTGATACCTGTGTATTGCTTGGCTTGGCCTTTGGACCTTTTGACTCGGACAACAGCTGATCCCTCATTCTTTTCAGCCTTCCTTATTTGGAAAGCGAGCAGGCCCCTGGAAAACAAGAACTGACGCCAGTGAAGCTGCCTTGCCGAAGCCCCAACTTGAGGTGCTTTGCCAGTTGTTGTGTTCGTCAAGTGGAAGCAAACCAAAGGTTTCAACCTTTGGCTCCCTGGCCCACTTATAAATGTTAACCCCGGATTAATAGCCCCTGGTTGATAATAAGGGGGTGTCCCCTTTTAGTGCGGATTCATCACTTTTGGAGGTCACACCCCCCTAATAATGGGACGGGTTTATTAATCCTGGGTCAACATTATTCATACTATAAAACCAGGTTGCTTCTGCCTCTCGATGCATAATAGGTTCTCCCGCTTACTCTATATATTTGCGGCCCGGAAGCACTGGGTGAGGCTTTCAGGTACCCTCCCCCCACCTCACGAGCCATTGACCCGGTTGTGGCACCGTGATTTTCCTTTTGGATAGCCCCTCAGACTGTTGGAAACAACTGGCTTGCAAATTTAACCTAGAAGGTGAGGCCTTTGGCTCAAGGAGAAGCCATCCAGAATAAGAATCGTCAGAGGAGTTTCCTCGTTTCTACGGGTCACTGGCAAGGTTGATTGGTTCTTCCCAGGTTCCTGGGCGTACCGCTCTTACAAAAGGAGACGTGTTTGGTGGGGGGTGCTCCCCTGAAAAGTTCTCAGAATGCACTTGACGAAGAAGCTTCGAGTTTCGAGTCTTGAGTTTCGAGTTCTCGACTCGGCTATTTAAGTTGGGGAAGGCGTCGTATTTTCCGGCAAGCGGGCCGTTTTTGCTGTTCCCCTTGTTTATTGGAGGTCGCTGGGGATCAACGTTGACCCAGATCTAAAGACTTGCGCAACATATTTTTTTGGCGATGGCCAAGTCTGGTGTTAGAATACCTTTCGGCCCAAGGGCCCAACTTATCTTCATTTAGGCCGTGCCCATGCCGGACTTTGAACCCAGAAAGCGCTTCCTGAGGATACCTGCGAAAAGCTTATGGCGATCCTGCAGGCCTACGCGGATGAGTCCTCACCCCTGGAGACTCGTTGGGTTGTCTTCTTGATCGGACAAAGGGAAACCACCAGTATGTTTGTTTGCCAATGTGTGTCCTTTTTTGTCTATTTGTCCTTGTGTCTGTGTATGTTTGGTTTATTTGGTTGCTTTGTTTGTTTGCTTGCCTGTCTGCCTGCCTGTTTGTGGGTCTGTTTGTTTGCTTGAGTGTTTGTGTTGCGTGTTCGATGGGTTTTTGTTTGTTTGTGGTTGGAGTGTACGTTGGTTGGCTGGCTGGTTGGTTGTTTGTTTGCGTGTTTGCTTCTTGTGTCTTTGTGTGTGTACTGGTTTCAGTTTGTCTGTCTGTCTGTCTGTCTGTCTGTCTGTTTGTCTGTCTGTCTGTCTGTCTGTCTGTCTGTCTGTCTGTCTGTCTGTCTGTTTCTTTGTTTTGGTTGGTGTCTTGCTTCGTTGTTTCTTGTTTCGTTAGTGGTTTGCTTGTTTGCTTGGCTCTGTGTTTGTTGTTCTTGTTTTTTGTTGGCTTGTTTGATGTTTGTTGTTTGAATTGTTTGTCTTCTATCTCTTTTGTGCGTTTGATCGTTTTGGTTGGTTTGTTAGCTCATTTTGTTAGTTTGTACGTTTGTTCGAAGTGCAATCATGTATCTCTCTTTTCAGGTTTGCCCTATTTTGAGACAGCCCGCCTTGCGCAACCAACACGTCAAGATCCCACGACAATCAAAACCGAGCTGGGGGCTAACCTGCTCCGGCCGAGTGAGAATAGTTTGTCTGCTTTTAACATCGTCCTTTCCCAAGCTATTTTAAAGGGAATGTAATCCGTTTTGGGGTTCCCCTCTTTTAGGACAACTCTGTGACACCGCAATTTTGAGATCTTGCCTCGTCGTTTTGCTTTGGGAACAAACGTGCTCAGGACACATATTTCTACAAATGGAATACTTCCCTGCCTACAATTTGACGAACCGATCTCAAAGGGATGCTCAATTATCGACACATAACAACATGTTCTTCTTAGGTCCTAAGTCAACCTGTTTGCCCTATGGTTATTCGCCTATGTTGCCTATGTTGAGTCGACCTCTTGCACATGTGGGCCATGTGACCTTTTTGCCCAAAGCGAATCGACCTTGCACTGACCACCCTTTGATTGTTTAAGCTGTTTTTTTTTGGGGGCGGGGGAGGTCATTCCGTGTCATCTCATGCACAATATGCCAACACGTCTTTCGTGCCCGTGGCGCCGTACCAAGGATAGCTTGGCCTCTCCCATGTCAAGTCCAAAGGACAGCGAAGGGAATGCGGCCCTGCTGGAAAGTGACCTGCTTGAATCCAGCTGGGTGTGTGGTGTTTGAGGCTGGGTGCCGATTCTTTTGAGGCTTATTTAGAGAGAAACCAGCAGGAAACATACATATTTGGGGGCCAATTCTATTTTCTTACTCATAGATTTCGTATGGACCCCGTTTCCTCGAGCTACACAAATTAAGGAAGGTAAAACGGGGGTGCCTGGCTCCCCAGAGTTCCAGTATGCTTCAGGCCCTTTCTCGGATCCATATAGCACCCCACGACTGCCTTGACAGTTCTCGTTGGAACATGGGAAAGCGCCGTCTTGGGGTGCTGGGAATTGCCAGTGGCATTGAGGAGTTGAGCATCGCCTTTCGAAATGCCGGCAGTTCGAAGTATAGGGGGTGTTTCACTGGTCGGGGCGGGTCCCTCTTGTGCATCAGCCGAACGCTTGGTTGTTTTTTCCCGAAAGCATGGCGAAGGGTTCTTCCACTGGGTTCACTTGAGTTGTTCTCATGAGAGTCATTACAAGGTGTCATTGCAAGGAATCATCATCACGCAAGTCATTGCAAGGAGCCATTACAAGGTGTCATTGCAAGGAATCATCATCACGCAAGTCATTGCAAGGAGTCATTGCAAGGAGTCATGAGAGCCATTGCAAGTTGCAAGGGGCCAAGTGCATGGAGTCAAGTGCAAGTTGCAAGTGCACGGAGTCAAGTGCAAGTTGCAAGTGCAAGGAGCCAAGTGCAAGTTGCAAGTGCATGGAGTCAAGTGCAAGTTGCAAGTGCATGGAGCCAAGTGCAAGTTGCAAGTGCAAGGAGTCAAGTGCAAGTTGCAAGTGCAAGGAGTCAAGTGCAATTGACTTGCGAGGAGTTAAAATATCTTCTTAGGGCGGCAGGGTAGTGCCGACGACACTACACGAAAATCGACCCTCTGCGGGGATTGGCGTGGTCGAGGTGCAAAAACTCGAGGTTTTTTGCGATTTTGCTTTGGCTCCCGCGACCCTTTGCGGGGATCGGCGTGGTCGAGGTGCAAAAACTCGAGGTTTTTTGCGATTTTGTTTGGGCCCGTGCGACCGTCTGCGGGGGTCGGCGTGGTCGAGGTGCAAAAACTGGAGTTTTTGTTTTAACGATTTCTGCGGTGCTCGCGCGACCCTTTGCGGGGATCGGCGTGGTCGAGGTACACAAACTCAAGGTTTCTTACGATTTCTGCGGTGCTCGCGCGACCCTCTGCGGGGATCGGTGTGGTCGAGGTGAAAAAACTCGAGGTTTTTTGCGACTTTTGTTGTTCGAACTGGTCCTCGGGAGTTGTCTCGTGCAGTTCGCGCGCCTGCTCCCGGGACCGGCGGGTCGCGGGTTCCATTCCCCCCTAATCCGCGGTGATTCGCAAGCTGCACGGAGCAACTTGCACAAAGCAACCTGCGCAGAGGAAGTTGCACAGACCATTTTGCGCAGAGCAACTTGCACAGACCAGTTTGAGCAGAGCGCCTTGCCTAGAGCAACTTGCGCAGAGCAACTTACGCAGAGCAGCTTGCACAGAGCAACTTGCAGGGAGCAACTTGCACGGAGCAATTTGCACAGAGCAACTTGCGCAGACCAACTTGCACCGACCAGTGTTCGCAGAGCACCTTGCCAGAGCAACTTGCGCAGAGCAACTTGAGCAGAGCAATTTGCACAGAGCAACTTGCACAGAGCAGCTTGCGCAGAGCAATTTGCGCAAAGCAACTTTGACAGAGCAACTTGCGCAGAGCAACTTGCGCGCAGCAACTTGCACAGAACAACTTGCACAGAGCAACTTGTACAGAGACATTTGCACAGAGTCAGTTGCACAGAGCTTCTTGCACAGAGCAACTTGTGCAGAGCAATTTGCACAGGGTAACTTGCACAGAGCAGCTTGCACAGAGCAATTTGCGCAGAGCAACTTCGACAGAGCAACTTGCGCAGAGCAACTTGCGCAGAGCAACTGGCACAGAACAACTTGTACAGAGACATTTGCACAGAGTCAGTTGCACAGAGCTTCTTGCACAGAGCAGCTTGCACAAAGCAATTTGCGGAGAGGAATTTGAACAGAACAACTTGCACAGAGCAACTTGTAAAGAGACATTTGCACAGAGTCAGTTGCACAGAGCTTCTTGCACAGAGCAACTTGCACAAAGCAACTTGCGCAGAGCAACTTGCACAGGGCAACTTGCACAGAGCAACTTGCACAGAGCAATTTGCGCAGAGCAACTTTGACAGAGCAACTTGCGCAGAGCAACTTGCGCAGAGCAACTTGCACAGAACAACTTGCACAGAGCAACTTGTACAGAGACATTTGCACAGAGTCAGTTGCACAGAGCTTCTTGCACAGAGCAGCTTGCACAAAGCAACTTGCGCAGAGCAACTTGCGCAGAGCAACTTGCACAGAGCAACTTGCACAGAGCAGCGTGCACAGAGCAACTTGCACGGAGCAACTTGCACGGACCAACTTGCACGGAGCAGTTTGCGCAGAGCACCTTGCCCAGAGCAACTTGCGCAGAGCAACTTGCGCAGACCAACTTGCACCCTCCAGTTTGCGCAGAGCACCTTGCCGAGAGCGACTTGCGCAGAGCAACTTGCGCAGAGCAACTTGCACAAAGCAGCTTGCACAGAGCAACTTGCGCAGAGCAACTTTGACAGAGCCGCTTGCGCAGAGCAACTTGCGCGCAGCAACTTGCGCAGAGCAACTTGCACAGAACAACTTACGCAAAGCAGCTTGCACAGAGCAACTTGTAGGGAGCAACTTGCACGGAGCAACTTGTACAGGGACATTTGCACAGAGTCAGTTGCACAGAGCTTCTTGCACAGAGCAACTTGCACAAATCAACTTGCGCAGAGCAACTTGCACAGGGCAACTTGCACAGGGCAGCTTGCACAGAGCAGTTTGCGCAGAGCAACTTTGGCAGAGCAACTTGCACAGAGCAACTTGCGCAGAGCAACTTGCACAGAACAACTTGCACAGAGCAACTTGTACAGAGACACTTGCACAGAGTCAGTTGCACAGAGCTTTTTGCACAGAGCAGCTTGCACAAAGCAACTTGCGCAGAGCAACTTGCACAGAGCAACTTGCACAGAGCAGCGTGCACAGAGCAACTTGCAGGGAGCAACTTGCACGGAGCAACTTGCACAGCGCAACTTGCACAGAGCAACTTGCGCAGAGCAACTTGCGCAGAGCAACTTGCACAGACCAGTTTGCGCAAAGCACCTTGCCCAGAGCAACTTGCGCAGAATGGTCACGGGGCTGCGATGCTTTCGGGCCAACCGTGGTCTAGTTTTTTGTGGGGAGCTCAGCCTTGTGGGTGGTTCTCGGCTTTGTTTCTTCCATGGGCGCACGGATGGGGTCTCTTTGTTGTCTTTGGAGGGAAATGGCTCTGACTGGGAAATATGATATTTCCAGTGGTACCTTGAGCAACTGCCTAGTTTGGGTGAAGCCATACCAGCAGAAGCCGGCGCCGGTCGTTCTTTGTTCTTTTTTGCCGAGACCAGACGCGCCTTTCGCGCCAAGGCGACGGTGAGGACTTCTATTCCATGGGCGACGAAAGCTGCGAGGAGGGCGACGGTGAGAAAGAAGAAGCTCGGATAAATTTGACGCAGTGAGAGAGGGCCTCCCGGGCTGGTTGTTGGAACCATGGGGGGGGATTATTGGAACCATGGGCTGTTTTGGTTGATCCATGGGGGGTTCCTTTTGCGGGGATTGTTGGAAGCCGGTTGGCAATCTGCTTTGGCCAAGGGAGTTTCAGGTAGACTTGAATGAACCCCAATCCTTGTGGGTCATGGTAGGATCTTCCCGTTTAGCACGGCAACAACCAACACACTGCGCTTGTTGGTTGCTTCGCTCGCGACATTTCAGGAAGGCGTGTACTCTGTTGGAGGGTGCCCTTGCTGTGGTTTGCTGGGGGGACCAAAGGAAACTCTACTGGTTTTGCAGGTACTCAGATTGCCAGAGACAAGCCCATGCGAATGAGTGCAGCTCAAGTCCTTCGCTCGTAAATGGACGTGAATCTTGGTTGCGAATCACCTCAATGACAGTGGCTGGGACATACTTGTCTTCAACCAACATGGAACCTGTCCAACCCTTGGTATGGCAGTAAACTTGTTTTGTTGTATCAGCCCCCTGCTATTTTTTCTTGGCCGACGGCCAAGTACCTCCAGAACCTAAAGCAAAGGGATCTCCAAGTACCTGCATCATTCACAACTTCTGGCATAGTTGCAAACAACTTGTGTTGTGTTGCAGCCCCCTACCAAAAATGAACAGAACCAAAGAACTGGAAACCAAAAAAACAACAACAGCTTGCCAAGAACCGTGGTAAGAGAAACCTCCAAGAGTGGGTCAATCCCCCTCCCAAAATTGACCATTGGAAATCGTTGGATTTCCTTGCTTTTTTTTGTGGCGAGCTCCCCGATTGGGGATGGGTTCTCATGTTACCATGAACATGGACAGTGAACAACACAGTATAATGTTGAAATGCATTTGGCTGCACGCTATAACCTGAATGGCATCCCATCTTGGCATGCATTCGAACTCATGATGGACACTTTGGTAAAACATCATCTAGCTTTGGATTTACTCCGTTGCAAATTAATATGGAACCCTAAAAACGCATGCCTATCAATGATCTGATAAGCTGCTTAAATTTATTGTTTTTTGTTCCACGGGTTGAAGAAGAGTATGTCCCACTGTCATTGAGGGGATTCGCAACCAAGATTCACGTCCATTTACGAGTGAAGGACTTGAGCTGCACTCATTCGCATGGGCTTGTCTCTGGCAATCTGAGTACCTGCAAAACCAGTGGATTTTCCTTTGGTCCCCCTTTCAAACCACAGCAAGGGCACCCTCCCAAAGAGTACGCAGCTCTTCACCAACCTGACTTAGGGAACCCCAAGCAAGGCATTAATTCCATGCTAGGCACCCCAAAGAAACACTATCTTTGAGGGCATTCGCAACCAAGCTGTTTATTAGCGTGACAAGGGTTGGAGAGGTTCCAACTTGATCTGGGCCGATTTTCGGTCGGCGACATAGAGGCCGTGAGCACCTCCCGTGCCTTGATGAACTACTTGGGGGATGCCATTCTCAACATCAAGGCCGACAGGCGCAATTTGGGCGGGGCTTTTACTTCGAGACCTGCCAAACACGTGGGTTGTCTATGGACACAATGACAGAGCCATTTGTGGGATAGCACGAAGGCTGAAGCGGAAGGTTCCATGTTATGCGTCAAATTGAAGAAGTTGGAAAGTAGAAGGGTTCCATGTCAGCAGTTGGACAAAGGTTAGTCGCAAAATATGCAAAATATTCCGCACTCGACTCCGAAATTGCCCTGAATCAACTTGGTTGAAACCCGAACGCTTGTAACGTATGAGCTTTCAAATCGATGTCTGGGCATGTTCAGCGGCTGGGCCCAAAATGAATGTTAAAGCTCAAGCTATGGCAATTGGGCCAGTTCAGCTGGTGTCTTTTGTCCAAATCCAAGCTTGGACTCAAGTTTAGTCCGTCCAGTGGCTCTCAAAATCGGAGTTCCAAGGTCTACCCTTCCAAAAACCAAGCATGGAAAGGGAACCTGGAAAACCAGTCCAGGGCTCTCAAAGAGGGGTCCCATTGGGGTGTGACTTTTGGATCTCAACCTTTGGCATGTTTGGCATGTCCACATGCCTCCATCCGCTTTTTCCCATTGGCGTGCGGAGACGGATGCTTAAGAGCATCCGCCTGGAAGCCATCGAAGGTTTGTAAAGGCTGGTTCCCTTGGTTGGTTACGCTCGCGGACGGCCGGTCCGTTCGGGAGCTTCCATGTTCGTCAAAGGGAATGTACCTATAGTCATTGCTGGCTTGCAATTGCTGCTCCGTGTGGCTTTGGATCGGAGGAAGTGACTCACAGGATCTCTCGTCGCGAGTGCGTTGCCAGGCCCTCTCTCCAAGATTGGCAGAGGTTCGATGCCGAGGCGCTGGTTACATCCGAATGGGCAAACGGAGCCCCACCCCCTTGCCCCCTAAAGGTGGGAGAATTATTGCCAAAGAAGTACCCCCAACAGGCAACTGATGGCACTTGGGTCCCCGTGTTGCCCATGTTGCTATCGCTGTTTTTGGTGTGAACCCCCCTGTGCGAGCCCCGTTTAAGTGCGCAGCGCGCAAAACTCGGATTGGTCAGTTTAGTGCGTGGTCTTTCAACTCCAACGCTGACATGGCATTCCGAGCAAGGGCTCTGCAAAAGCTTGCTGCAAAACACAGTAATTACCCGACAATTGTAGCAGACCCAAAAGTCAATGGTCTTGGGCACGGCTCAAATTCAACCGCGGCCCGCTGAGTTTTGGAGAGCAACGGCAGGTTTGGGAGCTCCAAAGGAGAACCACCATGTTCCACGATGACTGGCGCTCCCCGTTTCTGCCCCACGACAGCCAGAAGTGTCCCGGCAGCGATGTGCCCGTTCGGAGCGACCGAACCCAGTTGCGCTTTTAACTTGCCTGGGATTGGTTTGGGAGGCATCTCCAATTTGAACTCTACAAGTGCCAGGGATTCCAGCCCCCCAAACCATCAAACCAACAAGTATTGGCCACCTGACTGTAAGAGGAACATTCCGCCGCCCGTCTAGATTGGCATCGGACAAAGCTTGAAGGGGCTCTATGATCATAAAATCCCCCATGGCTTCCTGAAAGCAGGTCGAAAGGATTTATTAGTGTCCTATTTGAGGAAACGGGTTGAGCTGGGGCTTTATTCTGGGCTTGGAAGGGTTTATATGTTGCAGGTTTGCTGCCAACCATCGACTGCCCTATAGATAGTATAAACAGGTATAGTATAGAGATTATATATATATATATTATACATATATGTTATACATATATATATATATGCATACATGTCTATACAGGCGTGGCAGCACGGAGGCATTGCAATATGAATGTATGTGTATACACATATATATATATACATATATATATATATACACATTAAATGTTGGCATATGCGTGCATATATTCACAATATAAGTTGACAGATATATATATATATATATATAAACATGTTGGACCATCGCTACGCAGGGAAAACGCTACGCGGCCGACTTGAATCGACTCGTTGGCGCGTTGGATCTGTTCGTCGTCCAGTCTTTGATGCCAAGGGGCTAAGTATTTCGTCTTAGATTGTCATGATTAATTTTAGTTTTATACTATGTCTACCCCAAAAATGGGGGCCACACCCGCAAAAGGAATTTAGCAGCCCCAAATGTAATGCGTCATGTCAAGGTTTCGGGGCAAATTCCATGATCTTCCCAATGTCTTGGATTGCGACCTTTCTCGTTTGCCCAGTTGGACTTACGTCAAATGCGGAGAGATGAACCATGCTTTTTTACAATATTTGGATAGGTGGTAAAAAGGATGAGGAAGGTAGCCTACTGTTGGCCAGTGCAATTCTCGCTATACCATGTTTTGGCCGAGGAGAGCTCGCTGGGTGGATGAGAGGCTGGGAACCTTTTGAATTGGAGTTGCAGAAGCTGGCTAAGAGGAGACCAAGACGAATCATATTGTTTTGGTGGTAGAGGGTGCAATTCCAGTCATAGTTCCATGCTTCATCTGTGGTTGGAAGGCCTGTTCAGAGCGCATGGGGCGGGGTGCTTTAAAGCCAAATTCGATCATGATCATGACGTAACCATGCCCCTACCCACCCCACCCCCCACCCCACGCTCGAGTCCCCCCCCCCCCCCCGCACCCCGTCTACCCGACATGTTACTTGAGAGCCTGGACTCAAGTCATCGGCCACCATGGCTCACCTCTGGCGGACCTGAGGGCTCACTCCCTGTCCTGGACTTTACGCCGGAGATCATTCTGGCAAGCAACAGGTGTTCGGCAAATCCCCGAAGAAGTGAGCTTCTGATGGCTTTGGAAACTTGGTGGATTCTACCCTGAAAGTCCTTTGTTTCTGGCCGTCAGAGGCAAGGCCTACATGGAAGTCGGGTGAACATGCACAGCCATGAAGCGTTTTTCTGTTGAGTGGCACTTGTTACATGTTTCCTCTGTAAAGGGAGCGGCCTGCAATCGCGCAAGGGGTGTGCTCCAATCGCAGTCTAAGGCCACATGATCTTGCGCTTGCCCAGGGCTGCCCTTTGGACCTTTTGGTTTCCCTTTGATTTTCTTCGGGCAAGTGAGCATGCCAAATGCTCACTCCCTGAGTTCCTGGACTTGAGTCACTTGCTGGGAGGTCCATTTTAGTGGCAACTAAATAGACAAGTCCGAGCTTGTGTTTTTGGCAGTCCACTTAGGAAGTGAGAATGAGGGGTTCCAAATCCCTACCTCGGGATTCGGCAATGCTTGTGGGCATTGGCGTTCGCCTATGGCCGCAACCCATGCAGTTTTTTGAACACAGGTCTTTTTTTGGTTCATTTTGGGAGCTTTCGACTTGTTGCGAACCACGTAAGGTCCATTTTGGGTTCATGGTTGGTCCATGGTCTGGGCCGCCCACGTGAGGAGGCCTTGCGTTCTTGGACGCCAGGTACCGGAAGCACTGCTGGGTGCTTCTGCCTTCCCACCTTGCGGCGACTGCGGAATTGCCGCCCCTGCAGTCGCCACCGGCCATGGGCTCCCAGGTGGGAGGGTTGGAAGATGGTTAGAAGGGTGTTTTTTTTGTTTTTTGTGTGTGTGTGTGTGTGTTTTTTTTTCCTCCGCAAACCTGTAATATGTTACAGGTGTTTTTTTGTTTTTTTCGGGGGGGGGGGACCCGCGAAGGATCCAGTGTTTCTTTATTTCCTAGGGCTGGTTTTTTTTCGCTAGGGCTGGGTTGGTTGGTTGGTTGGTTGGTTGGCTGGCTGGCTGGCTGGCTGGTTGGTTGGTTGGTTGGTTGGTTGGCTTGCTGTATCCAGCCTCACTTGGCCCGGGAGTTGTTTATTGGCCCTGATTGGAAGGAAGTTGGAAGTTGCTAGGAGCTGGTCTAAGTTAAGGGGGGTTTAGGCTGGCTTAGATCTTGATTAGGGTGGGTCTTGTCGTGGTTTGGGGTTGATGCAGGGCTGACATCCAGGCTGCTGTTGGGCGGGTTTAGGGTTGGGTGGATTTGGGGTTGGCTTGGAGCTTATTTGTGTTGAGTGTGATGGGATGTGGTTACGTGAGTTTTGGTCTCGTTTAGGATTGGTTTTGGAGCGTTGCCCCAAACCACCAAACCTCGCCCACAACTCATGCAACAACATTCCTAAAGCAGCCCTAAAAGCACCGTTTTACCAGCAGCACACCCAACAACAAATCCCTCAACTTAAACCAGACCCCAACAAACCCGACTGCCTCCCAATCAGAGCCAATAGGCAAGGGATGTTGCCAGCTCTGCGGAAAACCAGCCTTAGGCACAAACCAGCCCTAGGGGAAACATCTCTGTCGACCCCTGAAAACCTAAACATAAGAGGAATGAATATGTGTGTTGATGTTCCTTTTTTTTTGGGGGGGAGGGAATCAGTTTCACTACTGGACACATGTTCTCATTTTCGTCCAGTGGGCTTAAGTATATGGAAGAACATGGGTTGATGGTTTCATGTTGTCAACCCAGCAAAAAAGGGGCTACCCTCCAAAAGGAGATGCCCGCATGTTAATCCTCATTTGCTATTTATGAGTTGGTTCAAGTTGGCTGGTGTAACTACCTACACCTGATTGTCTAACGCATCCAGTTTTTGAACTAGAATGATACCCTCCAACACCGAACCCTATGGCTGTCTCCCAGAAATCCCGCCCCCCCCCCCCGCCCCCACAATCCCAATACGTGATGATAGATGATAGGGCCCGTTTCGGGCACAACTTCCCTTGCGAGAGTCCGATGTTGGCCCTAACAACCAGGATATAGGTCATCGTATGTTATATACCCCGGCAGAATAAATTTAATTTGGGACTTGCACACGTCACAAGTCCCTGATATTATTTGCGTCACCCCCCTTACTTCCCCACTGAATTGTGCCACCCACATTTACCCTGGGGTAGGTTGTTCTTTGCTATGTATCTGGTTTGTTCAGAAATGTAGTTTAATCCTTCTGCCAGATGGTACTGGTTTGTCTTGCGCGATCCCGCGCACGGATCAGGATTAGGGATTTGCCTTTTGAACAATCCGATAGCTTGGATATTTCAATATTTCAATCTATTTCAAGTGTTTCTTTCCATTGGGGGTACTCGGGTGTAAAGAGAAAGCCGCCTTAGCGCCATTGCCTGGAGGTAGCGTGGCACGTCGCAACGGATGGTGAGGCAGACAAGGCACGGAGTGAGGGCACAGGAACGGAGCTACCCCCGAGCATGGTCCTTGCCACTTATCCTGGGTTCACTAGCTGTTTTCCTTTAAGGGGACCGTAAAGGATCCCTATTTTGAGTTGGACAGCTCCCCTTTCCAGCAAGAGTTTCTTGATGTGTCTGGGCAGACTACGGCGGTGAAGTATAATCATTTGCCCAGGGAATGCATAGTTCCCATTAGGTCTATGGTTGCCAAAGAAAGGGTGTGCCTACAACGGACAAGAGTTTGGATCTTTGGTTGGGTTGACATGTGATCCCTTCTCGTGGCCAACCCCTCAACACACGACTCACAAGTATTTCTGGGAATCCCACTTTGGAATCATCGAAAGTGCTACTTCCCCTCCCCGTGCATTGCCTTTGGCTCATGGCAAGCTGCCAAGTACTGGCAAAGCAGCGGGAACCCTTACCCTCCCACCCAATGGAAGCTGATGGGTGAGTACATAGAGCTGGTTGCCAACCAAATTGCGTCTTGCCGGTTTGCATTGGTCACTCGGTTTTGCGGGGCCCGAGTCCATAGAAATCTCGAGCCCAACGCCCATGGCTCCCTCAAGGACCTTTCTGTTTGGCTTCTCAACGAGCTAGCTGGTGGTTGGAAGGGGGCCGTTGCGGAGCTGGGGGTGCCCAAACTTTTTATTCAAGGAGAGAGCCTTTCGAAGCTACCAGGAGTTCTGTAAGGACATGGTCGCAAGAAGCATGTTCCTTCCTGAAAAGGCTTTCCTGGTATTTTGCCAGGGTCCCTGGCGGCATCGAATGGCCTCCGAGTGGTTTTTGCAACTTCTCACTCAGTGGACAGCCTGCGCTCTTTGCTTGGCGTGTTCGGTTCCCAGCGGTTCAATGTGATCGACTTCTCTCACCCGGCGTGTGATCGATCACGCATGCCGGTGGCCTTTTTGGGGCCAAGATTCATTTGGTGGCTGCCTATTTCTCTCACTTCCTCAGTTCATGAACTTGACACTTTTTGGGACGACCATTTAGTGGTAAATATAAAGTTGTTTTTTTGGGCGGACCCCCCATTTTTGGATTTGGGTTCTCCTTTTGGTTTTGCTTTTGAAACCACACAAAATAGGTAATTATCCCAAAGAAAGACACCCAACTGGAACCTAGTACATGACCCTTGTGCTTAACTCTCCTATTGGGCCTTGTGTCCTTTTGGGTGTTTCCTTCACGTTCTGTTGAACCTCACCAGCAACCAAGCATAGGTGTCTTTTTGATCGGTTAGTTTGGTTAGGAATAGATGGGTTCCACTGGTTTAGATTGTCTTCGTTGCCAGGATGGCTGGCAATACGCCGCAGACTTCTACAAGAAGAAGTCGAAGTGGGGAGAACCTTGGCCCAAAACAGCCCCAAGGCCGCCTAGATCATCCTCAATCCTTAAGTAACGGGGATGGCATTTCTTAGCGACAAGGTGTGTCAAAGCGGCCCTTAGCTCATCGCTGAGCTGGGCTGCAACTTGAACAGGGCTCCTTAAAAGATACATTTTGCAACCATTTGAAACATGTCGCTTCTTCCACCAACATAAGGGGAAACCACCATTTACATGGCAATGTTCAGGTGTATCCCTGTTGAAACAAAAGATTGTCCTTCAGACCCCTTCACCCGTCGATGCCAAAACTCATTCCTTTAGTGTCGCGTTTGGGCCGCCTGGAAGCGGCCCCAGTTGGGTTCGTCACCCGGTGGCGGGCCCTTTTCGATTGGGCCGTTTTGCTAAGAAATTCGGGGCTCGATGTCTTAGCCGTTGTTTTATCGGACAAGTTTGCCAAGAAGTTGGTCCAGCAAATCTGGGGGGCTCAATTCAACAGCAGCAACAGCAGTTGCAACTGGTCCGTGATTGGTGAATCTTAGCCCCTCAGTTGCGTTATCCAACGATCTCTTTTACAGTACGCTATAATGTATAGCCCGGAAGTCTCATGTCCAGGTTGCTCCGACTTGGCTCCGTTCACCGACTTGTTCAGTGAACCTCCGTTTGGGGGGAGGGCGCGATGTGCACAAAGGTTTGCCTAGGTCAACTCCGCCACAGCGAACCATCGCCCGTCGAACTACCAGCCTCGCCCATGGCCGCATCTCATGCCCTTTTTGCAAACTATACCCTCGAAGAACGAGTTTGACAGGTGCTTTTTTGGCTTCCAGATGATTTTTCAAGGTAGCCGAATACACGGTTTCCGTTTGATCCTGCTTTTTGGAATTGCTCAAAGTGCAGGATTCCGAGTATTTGGATAAATCATCCACGCTTGATTTCCCCACTAGAAAGCGCGCCAACTGAATTGTTGCGCCCAAAGGTGGTTTGCTTCCCAAAGTGAAGCCATATTTCATGGTTTTAAACAATGCCAATTAGCCCGGGTTCATACCAGAGGTTCATATGTGCCATGGTCCAAGCCCGCTTTTGCTCCAGGTTGGTGCATATTTCAAGGCATCTTATGGAAGAAGCCATGACCATGACTTTCGTAAGGATTGACGACGGCAAGTCCAGTTCTTCAATGGCACCCTTTCCCCACCAATGGTCAACCCGAAAGGGCCTTTGCTATGTGGGCTTATCTCGACCCCCAACTAAATGACGAAGAAATGACCTTGGCAAGAATCTAGGCCGCCAATTTCTCCATACTGTGGATGGACGAAATCCTGCACCACCCAAGAAACCCTGGAATGATGATTCCGTAAATACCAACGAAACCAATGGGTTCCCTTGGTCTCAAAGTGGCAAAAAATGGATTTCGCGTCCATCCACAGCACTTCCCCGGGGTCTCTGCAGGTGAAAGCCGCCATTTACCTCTGCCGCCGGCGCCGCTGGAAGGCCACGTTCGCACCTCGGCCTTGGCCAAAGGGCCATGAGAGACCGGGCCGGTCGGTGAGTTGGGTGAAAAATGGAGATGGGTTTGGTTTGGCTGGGTTTAGAGGGGGTTTTGCTATCCAGAAAGCCAGGGAACCAAAAGGCCAGCTATGGTCAGTTGCCTTTCAGGTGTAGTGCGCCGTTGGTGGTTGCGTGTCCCGTTTTGTTGTTACATTGGAACCGTTTGTGATTGCTGGTTTGGACCATCTGCCTTGTAAAGGGACCGGGTCCCCGTCAGGTTCCATGCTAATCGGTGGGAGCGTATCCCTTCTTGGCGGCTTTTAAAGGGAAACCAAATGGAAACACCGAAGTCATTTTGGCGGTGCCCTGGGAAAAGACACCCGTTTGATTTTGTGGTTTGGGGATTTGATCTCTGGTTAGAGGGGGTAAGCGGGAAACCAACCAACCGAAAGCTGAGACTTCAGGATGTCACTTTGGTTTTCCATGTGAACTAATCGCAGACAGCGTACCCTCAAACAAAATCCCACACCTTCTGCCTATAGCCAGCATATTATCAGCTTTCCCCGAATTGGTGGCTTGGGAAAGCAAATCCAAATCCCAACCACCAATCCAAACATCAAGGGGTAGGTGAAATGTCTGCCTATTGTATGGGCTTCAAGTGATTCCATTTGCGGAATCGAGCGAAAGTCCTTAATGCACATCCTTGGATCCAACTCTTACTTCTGGTTTGGTAGTGTTGTTGTGGAACTTGCATGTTCTGCATCTGCGTGGCCTTTGAGCGTACCCTTCTCAGAGTGGTGTTCAATGCAAGCTAAGAAAACTAAGGTATCTAAGGCAAACACCAGGGCCCCCTGGTTTAAAGACACACCGCCCCTTTGACATCCAGGTTTAATCTGGAGGGACCGCAAAGAAGCAAGCCAGATCCATCCAATCCGTTGGAGATTGGCCTTGACCCTTTCGGCGTACGGGCCTTTGTGAGAAGTCCACTGTGATTTGCAAAGCTCGGCAATTGCGTCAACGAGGCATTCTCAAAGCACCCTCTGAATGGTGGTTCAAAGGGAAACTTCCCCCAAAAAAGGTTGTTGAGAAAGCTGTTGAAGTGTTCACCCTAATGAACCCAGCTCTGTTTTGACCGGCGGGGTTAGATTAGAAGTTCCCAGAAACGCCTGTTTCTCTTTATCCTGCCGCTTGGGGACTGGCATTGAACATGATCATGGCAAGTCGGGCCAGGTTTGGTTGCAAATAAGGAGGGCCCTTGAAGAGAGGCTGGCATCACTCTGAGGAGTTATGTTCAATCAATGAGCCCATGTGGCATCCGCTAAAATCACAGCAACTGCTGGTATTTTGGGATTTTTTTGGGAGCCCCAGCCTGCAGGGAGCCACAACCCAAATCCACCAACCGCTCCACGCTACCCCGAAACCCCTCCGAAACCCGTCGGAATCCTTTGCAACAACAACTCCATTCCACAAGGAAGCCAATCCAGCAACGCTCCAGATGCCACAGCCCTTCGGAACTTTTGTTTCGCTGCTCCGGATCGCTCCGGAGCTTATTTGGGGCAGAGACCCTCAGCTTTCTGGAGGAAAAAGGTGACACGCAAACCCTGATGAAGGATTGCATCAAATTGATTTGGACAACCTGCCGAACTGGAAGCGGTCTGGATTGGGCGACGTAGGGAGAAGGTGGATGTTCAATCACTATCTTGGCCATGTTTGAAGGGGCAATGGCCCTTCAGCAATGACGTTTGTGCAGCGGTCAATGCGCGTTATTTTTGATAATTGACCATGTTCCAAGCTTAGACGACCAGAGGCAAAGCCCCGGGGTCAGTCACTGGCTCAGAGATTTGGGCTTTCCATGTTGCTCCATGTTCGCCACGGACGCGCCAGGGCCAGACTCTGGCCTAACATCTTCGGGTTTTTGGGCATTTCCTCTCAGCTGGCAGAAAACCTTCCATTTGCTGAAATGAATATATGTGTTTTTTCCCCTGTTGGTTTTAAAGGAGATCTATCACTAGTGGACATATTTTATCATTTCCACAAAACACACAAATGGAAGTAATTTGTCTTGGTACTGTTTCACAGCGCCACTGTAGCAAGTCATTGCAAGTGCTGAACAACCAACCCATCATGTGCTTTCGTAATACAACCCGCATGATCAGCTTACCGGGAATGAAATGTGTATTGCTGCCAAAGCGGTTGTTGATCGATGCCGCTGAAGCTGTCAATCGAAGCATTTGAAAAGCTGGGGGTGGGAGTGGCTGGTTTGGGGGGGTTAATTCCTTCCCCGTTCTTTCCCTCATTCATTGCGTTGTTTTCAATGGTTTTTTGTTTGGAAGGACCGAGAAATTGCTCCTATTCATTTGCCAACGCAAGGGGCGTGGGCCCTTTGACTGTCCTGACATTCTTTGCGGGATATTGGAAACTGCTCCATGGAAAGGGACCTTGTTGATGATAAAGGGAATTGGCCATCAGTAAACCCCTGCTTCGAAAAGAACAAAAACAAGAACACTTGTGTTTCTCCGCATGTTTTGGGGGGCACAACAAAGATTAAGAAAACTGGCCATGCCCAACGTAACTCATGATTGAAGGGGAACTCACGTTTGCACGTGTTAGCCCCCCTCCCTGTCGATTTTTGCGCGGCGCCTATCGCCATAACACAAGGTACGCATCCCAAAGGTGGTGACGCCTCGTGTGATCACCGTTCAGCTATGGGAGCTCCAGCGCAGGACAGGCCGAGGCTTTGCTTTGTGTTTCAGCGCTGCTCCGCAAATCGGCAACGCACTCCCTGACTTCAGGGACTTTAACAACTTTTTGGGAAGACAATTTTAGCGGCAAACCAAAAGTGTGGACTTTTCTTGGCCAGTCCATTCAGCAAGTCAGGCAAACTTCTCCAAGACCTTGTTGTATTTTAGGGTAGGCAAAGTATGAAGCCGAATGTGAGCATATGATTTGTGGTGTACCCAGAAGCCAAGAAACGACCAAAGGCCCCCCCACCCACCTCAACCAACGGTCTGCAAAAGGCCGGAGAAAAGCCGTGAGGCACAACCAAAGGGCCCCACACCCCGAAGGTTCTTCGAACCGTCCCAGGGCGCCTAAAGGTTGTGATGGGTTTGTTCTGAGAGCTATGCTGAGGAGGGGGGGATATGGGGAGGGCCCAGTGATTCGCCCTAAACCTCCAAGCTGTCACCAGAGATCGCGAGCACACTTGCTAGCTTAACATCCGGCGAAAACACTACGGAATCGCCGGGTGATGAGTTGCTTAAGTAGTCAGCTACTTGGTCTTTTGGTGTGGTGGGTTTGGGGCTCCTTTGAAACTGGTCAACCCAAAAAAAGGCAAGTTTGAGATTGCGCGCCGAGGTGAACATGGATTTTTTGGGGAATGGGGGTTACCCCGAGAGTTCCATGTGCTTTTTGTCAAGGTATATTTTGTTTAAAGCAGCTCTGTATTTCGACTCCAAATTAGAAAGCCGGAGTTATTTCCCAAGCCCCTCGGGAGGGGACTTTGATGTTCATCTCCGTATACATGTGTCTATATATAAATGTATAGACGTGTGTGTACATATCTACCAAGATCTCTATATATAATATGCACATACGTGTAAAAAATAGATGCAAATCCGGGATCGACGCTTTGAGCGGCAGGACTACGATCTTCCAGAGCGACTGGCGGGCGCCCTTCCTGCCACACGATGCCCGAGGCTTAGGTCCGCCTTCGATCGGCCTCAGGACGTTGGCTCGAACCCAAGCGAAGCCCCCAAAGCATTTTGGACCCTTTGATCATCACACCGCGAAAGCATGTTGGACCCTTTGATCATCACACCGAACGGACACTCACATTGAACTGCCCCAAAACTACCATCAGCTTTCGCCCAACCCAAAGTACCATGTTTAGACATGTCCTTGCTTAGCGAACCTCAAAGTGCAGACTGATTTCCAAAGCGATTCCGGCCTTTGGTAGGGCATTGCTCCATGCTGACTGGAGAGTCGCGTCGTTTGCGTCTCGTGTTTACAATCTGACCCATTTGATTCGAGCCTCCATCTCACCTGGTGATTCAGTTGCTTGTTTTGCAGCAGGCCAGGCGTTTGGGTTTGTGTAAAAGTCCAGGGGCACTCCAAGTTGTTGGTTTCAGGTTGTGTGTTCCATTTTGCAGTCAAAGAGCAGTCCCTAGTTTCGACTCCACACATTGCCGTTAGCGCAGCCCTGCATTTGCCGCGCAATCCCTTGGCTCGCGCTGCTTAAGCTTGGGTAGTCCCCCGGCTGACAGTCGCCAGTTTTGCCAATGTCCAATTAATTAAAGCCCTCCAAGCATTTTGGGAACCCTGAGCAGGGTACTCCAAATGGGTACCAGGGTGGAAGCTTCAGATTCTCGAAAGAACCTGGTGCTTCCAATCAAAGCCACACGACCCCTGATCATCCCAGCAATCAGCACCGCGAGGGGAGGGGTGAATCTAACAAGGTGAAGACCTCCCAAAATTGGGTGCGTTCTCCGGAATCTAGCCCGAACTCTTGGTTTTGATGAGTAGCCACAGGTAGCTAAAATTACAGCACACTCAGCGACGCGCCCTATACTTAGTTCCGCTGGTGGTTGTATTTTTTTTTTCGGGGGGGGGGGAAGGTCATTTGAGCTGGTCAGACGCTTCTGGCCTGGCAGGTTAGGCAAAAAGTTTGGAACTCAAGCCCCTTTGCAAGTGCCCTTTTGGGGCGCAATCTTCCAGTGTCGGGAAATGGGGTTGCCAACCTCCATTGTTGGAGTAAAGCCAGGGATGTCCAGACTTGGATTTCCGTTTTGCCATTTCTGGGTTCAGTTTCGGGAGTGCTCCAAAGATTGCTGCCTGTCGGATTGAGTGTGTTCCCTCTAAATCTTGTTTTCTTTGAGCTCCCCACTAAAAAAATCAAAGACCCAAAGGGGTGTCCAACTCTTTTTCTACTGAGCTCTTCATGGGGCGACTCGAGGCCATCCGCCATCGATTTCGCTGGGTGGACATGGACTTCAACGTTCACCCCTGGTGTCCACCAGCCCTGAGCTTAGCGATACTTCACTTGCGATCGGTACGGTCCCGTTTACCATGAAGATTTGACCAGGGCTTGGCATTTCAGAAGCATAAACCAGATGTTTTCAGACGCAAGGATGACCCAAAGTTAGCCGACCATCTTGCGATCGGTGCGAGAGATGCAAGGAATAAGTTGCATGGAATGATCCGTCGATAAACCATCCAACTGGTGATTTCCTTGGGACCGGACCAATGCATGGGTTTGTTCAACCACATTCCGTACTTAGCGCGCCATCAAGTTGAAGGATACAGAATGGGGCAGCTCGAGCTTTTCAGTTTGGTGGGATCAGTCGGGTTAGATCGCACAGACAGCAGATATGGGCCGTTAAAGTGAGCATGCTGACGCTGAGGGTCGGCAAAACATGGTAAATCTACTTAAGCTTTTACGGCCCCAAAGACAATCAGACCCCTTTTTGAGTGTCAATGATGTATTTATCCTTTCATGATCTTTCATGCTTGCTGGACGGTCAAGCAAAAAGAGCTATGATGCATCTCTACTGAACGGGTCACTGCATTTCTGTCTGACATGTTTGACAGTTGGGGGGGGGGTACCAATGTGCCACGACTAGGCGGTTTCCAGCCATAAGCTCGTAGACTTTCAAATTTAAGAGTTTCTTCCAATTGCTTAAGAACATGCTGTATTTTCCCCTGTGGGTATTAAAGGGAACCTATCACTACTGGACATAGTGTTTCCCCAGGGACTTGAGCAAAATGGAGGGTTTAGAAGCAACTACCACAGGGCTCCCGAGACATTTCCCCTCAAATCATCGCCTTTATGCAGGGAAGCTCACCTTACATGGGCCAAAAGGGTTGATGCTTACAGCCACCAAAACGGGAAATACAGCGAACCCTGTACTACTGTGGATGGACGAACTCCTGCACCACCTCAAACAGACCTGGGGTGGTGCTTCCCCTGTAAATACCAACGAGCAATGGATTGCTATGGTTCAAAGTGGTGCAGGATTTCCTGCACCCACAGTATAGCCCACTAATATGCTACTTTTAATGAGGGAACAGGAAGATGTGGAGCTTCGTCTCAGGCCAACACCCTGGCGTCGGCGGACAAGCCGCCCATTCGGGCGCCAGTTGGATGGGAGGCGAATTGGGGCAAATGGGCGACCCGTTTTTGGCTCACCTGGGGCGTCGGCCTTTTTTTGGGGCCCGCTTGTCGCATTGTCGCATTGTCGCATTTCTTTTCAAGGGGAAACCAAACCCCGTCACCAGCTAGGTGGCAGAGCAATGCAACTCACGCACACACAAGAAGTGCCTGGACTTGACATTTTGGACTCGGACTGTTTATTTGGAAGGGCAACCTTGCTCCGAACCTCCAGTGTAGTGTTGTTTGTTTGCCTTCTTTGTGGCCCGGTTTCTGTTTAAAATTTTAGTACCAAGAAGTGTGGCTGGTTTCTCCCCCTGAAATTCCACTGCAGGTTTGGGTCGCAGAAAAGCGCTTGGTTTGCATTGAATGCCCATGAAGATAATATGTTCCTCGGGAGTCCTGCCGTTTGATCTCTTGCAGATGGTGGTGGCACAAATCTGCCACTTGTGAAATCCTTGGCATTGGAGGGGACGAGCAACTGAGCAGGCACCAGCTAGCCACTTCATGTCTCACACGCGGGCAGTGCTTATTGCTTTGCGATGTTGGACTTGTTTTGTGTTTTTTTCCCGGTATTGGTATTGCTGGGGCTTCCTTTTGATATTTGTCTTTGAGTCTCCATTTGATTTGAGTTTGGAGTTGATCTTCCATTTGAGCTTTCTTTTGATATTTTGGATTGGGGGGCCGGCGGCCAGCAGCAAGACTTTGCTGTAGGGGCCACTGACAAAAACTCTTTGGCTCCAATTGGGAGTCTTGGGCTCCAATCTCGGGTGGCTGAATGACTGCTCCCTTTGTCGGTTTTCCCGGCATTCTTTGTTTCCAAGAGAGGCAATGTACGAAAACATGACTATGGAGAAGCTGAGCATTCTGGAGAATGAAAGATGACGTGGGTATGGGTCCAAATTAAACCACCAGGGGACCGCAGATTTTAGCCCATGTTTCCATTTACCAGGGCAAGCCATTTTGGGGATCCATTGACATGGAGAGTGAAGAAGACTCGAAGGCCAGTCCTACACCCAGTCTCCATCCCAGCGCCGAGCCTCCGAGCTCCAGGCAGAGGGCTGGGTGGTGGCGCAGCCGCCCGGGAGCTGCGACTCGGGCCGCTGGCGCCTCCGGCATGTCGGTGGGCGTTGATCCTGAGGGTTGCGGGGGTGCTTGGACCCCCGCAAGGACCGGACATACCCATGGAAGATTTCCATTTGGTTAAGAATATTTGTTAATTTTTTTCCTGTTGGTTTTAAACTGGAATCTATCACTACTGGAAATATTCTTAGTTTTGCCAGGGGACTTGAGCAAATGGAGGGATACTAGCAACATCCCTACCCCGAAGCAACGCATGACAGGTGATTGCGTACGTGTCCCGGACAACTAATGTACCAAATGGCCTCGGTTTGGATTCGGTGCCAAAAGGGGGTACTGTAGCTCTGACAGCCGCCTCGGCATCCTTTTACCGGAGCCCTGTTCCGCAACAACTCGCTTATCATCAGCCTTGGTCAGTTTCCTCCTGGCATACCCCTCACATACCCCCTACATAAACACGATGGGCAAAGCTGAGACTCACAGTATTGCCGAAGGGCCATGCAAGCGCGACAAATTAAGGGTCTATTCAAAGGGCCCATTAGATGTTGGCTAGATGAAACCTGCCTCAAAAAGGTGCCGAGCCTCCATCGAAGGAGCGTGCGTTTTTTGAGGGTGCCCTGGGTTGCCTTGCAGGAAAACAAGCAAAACAAACTCCTATTTCGAGGATCGCCATCGTTGTTTGCCACCCCACTTGGCTTGAGGAACACAAAGTTCAATCTCCTATGTCGAGGCTCGCCATAGTTGTTTGGCGCCAAACAAAGTTCAATCTCCAGGCCCGCCAACGGGGCCCGCCAACGGGGCCCGCCAACGGGGCCTTTGTTGCAATTCAGCCAAACCTCTAGGGTACCTTCCCCATTCTTTCCAGGGATCCTTATTTCAAAAAACCATCATACACCCAAAAGAAACAGCTTTTTTTTTTTTTTTTTTTTTTTTTTTTTTTTTTTTTTTTTTTTTCGAAAAGAACGATGGTTGAAAAGAATGGACAAGGACTCAAACCATAGGAACCCCCCAGAACGTTCCGGGGCTTTTCGGGCCTTCGGCCCGATTTTCAGGCAGTACTCCTCGGATCTGAACCGCAGCGACAAGCGCTGGGGCTCGCAGAGCACGGGCCTCGGCTGCCGGCGCCGGCTCTGGAGCTGCATCTTCACGGAGGGATGCCGCTTGGAGCTCTGATGGGAGCTGAGCCGCGGATCACGGATCCAGCCCCAAGAACCAACGGAACCTCGGCTGGTGGGTTTCTCACTCCTGGTAAGTTGTGGTTTGGTTATTTGTTGTTTATTGGTTTTTGGCAAAATGTTCAGAAGTTGTTTTATTAGTTTTGTTTTGCTCTCAGATCCTTTTTCAGAAGGGGGGCTGCCAAAAAGAACGCTTTGCCTACCGTACCAAGGGTTGTGAAGGGCTAAATGTCAGGGCAAGCCGAGAAACCAAGAGCCCAAAAACCTGTAGGTGGCAATGCGCTCGACCTTTGTTTGGGCCTCCCCCTCACATCAACCGCCACCAAAGGGCACAATCCTTACCTCGCCCCCTCCGCGCTGCTGATGAACAAAGACTGATTGTATAGGTCCATACATGGACCCATGGCCTTTTTTACAGTATGAAGCCACAACAAAAGGTTATTTGACCAACAAGCTTGGCTCATCCCCAGTTTCATGCATTCAGCACTTGAGATTTACAAGCGGGGAGGCCTATCCGGCACATCCCTTTTGCTTGCGATTGCGGAGTTACCTAGTTTGTTTAAGACCCAAGTGGTGCCCCCTTTTTTAGACCTTGTTTCAACCAGAATTGAAGGATGTGGGGTTCTGGATTTAGTGGACGCCCTTTTTGGTGTTTAAAAGGAAAGCAAGCAGGACGCACCCCATTTTTAGGGGATCGTTTGATTTATTGTTTTCTGATTGTTATGAAAGCCAGCAACTGCCTCTGAGAATGACAGAAATGGGCCCAGGTTCACCTTGTGGTTTGTCGTGTGCAGGGGTGTCCCAATATGAGCCGGAGCTGCCCAATAGAGTCCTTCCAAAAGTTGTGTGTGTGTGTGCGTAGGCTAATCAACCCTTCAGCAACCCTTCTCAAATGGTTTGTTTGCTTCAGTTGTTTTGCTTGAAGAAATCACCCAAACAAAGTTCCCTATTTGGGGAATCCCCATTTTGAGGTATGATTCATGACATGGGGCTTTGCTCAGCTCTCGGCTTGGTGCTTGGAATGTTTTGAGGCAGCCAGTGCAAGGAACTCTGGAGCATGCCCTGAGTGATTTTAATCCACAGCTTGTGGGTTGGGCAAGCAAAACATCCGCACAAGCAAAACCAACAACATGAACAGACTAGACATTTGGCTGCGGGTCAAAACCACTGGAACCATTTTGGGGTAGGTGCACCACCCATTTTAGTCTATTTTAGTGAGGATTGGGATGTTCACTGGGGGTATGGGATTTTGACCCATGGCCATTTCTGAAGTGCTGGGCCCTATGCTGGAAGGATCTTCAAAAAAGCCCAAGGGCATAACGCAAACGCGGCTCTGTACAGATGCGCCGCGAGACTGGGCACCTGGAGCATGAGAGGGCTCGCCTTTTGTCGCCCTTTCCGGAACACCACGACAAACAAGAGTCACAACATGTCCGCAACCTACATGTCCCAAGTGTTCTGCGGTTTTGTACCTATTCATGGAGTATGCTAACCGATTTCATTTTTTTCTCAACGGCACAGCATGGCCTAACTCGCAGTCTGAAACTCTATGCCCGGGTTTCTCCGAGCCATCAGAACCCATAGCATTGCCTTGATGTCCTCTGGTTTCCGATAATCAAACTTAGGCGAAAGATGCGGAGAAACCCGCTTTGTTTACATCACCTTTCATCTCACTCGAGTTCATGGACTTCACACTGGCAAAACCGTTTTGGTGGCCAACAAGTTTGGACTTTTTTGGGGCCAGTCCACTCAGGAAGTGAGTCATGGGCTGCAAGTAGTTTGGATATCGATGGGGTAAGCCCCAGCCGGGTCACAAAGTCAGAGCCATTTCCGGGGCTATGCTGGGCTATGGGTCGTTCACCTAGAGTATGCTGGGTGCTAACTTGCCTACCCTAAGGGTCCAGACGATTTGGGTTCTCCGAAGTGGCTGTTTTGGAGGGCCCTTGAGGGGCCGGGGTGGTCCAGGGGTGTGCATTGGAGGGGTCACGACCCTTAGGGTATGTCATTTTCCCCAACGAAAATCAACCGTTAAGTTCACGCACAAGTTCCTCTATCTGACAATCGGCAGCTTTTCTGAAGATTCCCAGCATGAATTCGCCTAAGGCTGACCAAGATCAACCCGGCAAGCTGTTTCTGTTGGTGTTTCCTCCTGCATGGGCTTGTCTCTTAAAATAGGGAGTCAACAAAATGGTGGTTTCTCCCGAGTCCTCGTTCACAGCAACCTCCAGCAGGGTACCCTCAAGAGGCGACAGCCCCATACAAAGGCAAGGAAGGGAAACCCCAAGTCAGTGGCGTCCTCCCAGGGTGAATCTCCACAAGAGGCGAAGGATCTTCTCTAAAATGGGACAGGCGTATATTCGTACGAAAATCCGGTTTTCATCATTGCTGTGCTGTACCCCGCTCGGCGCCTTGCATCCGATCGATGTGGACAGCGTGAATTGGCCGTAGGCTATGAGTGAGCTCGAGCTTTCGCAAGTAAGGCTACAGGTTGCCGGGACCTTCGTGGCTTCGAACAACAGCCTTTTTTCGATGAGTGAGTAGTGACGGCAGACATGGCGTCCGGTTGATTTCCTGGCTCAATGCGTTTGTTTTTGCTAGGTCCCTTGGCTGGCCCGAATTCCAGGGAGGACATACTACAAGCATTAACATGGCCTGTTGCTGGTGTGACGTTAGGCACTTCGACCGGACGCAAGCGGCTTTTCCACCTACCAGAAGGTCAGACCTATTGAAATTTGCTCAGGGCCTTGGAGCTCTGCAAGGGTAGGTGTTTCCAGAGGCAGCCACTCAGGTCTCGAACTGTCCTTTTTGTGACTGCTCCCAGCCAGCTGCAGATGCACCTGAGAGAGCTCCGTGAATTCAGGATTCAAAGGCTGAATGTATGCATCCACCGGCCTTCCCCACCCCCGTGCACGACAACGGACCCCTTGGTTTCAGGTGTTTCTACAATTGAGGCCAGAACAAAGGATTCCCAAAGCGGCTGGCTTCTCAGAATAGAGCCATACTTGATGTACGGGTTTGCTTGACGCATACCCAAGGATTTCTATCTAGGGCTTCGTGGGTTCATATGTCCAGCCTTTGAAGTGCCAAACTTCCGAATGGAAGCTGCGCGAAAAGTGGTGGCATCCGAGACGCATGAGGAGCACACCTGGGAAGTTGAAGTTCTGTGGACCCCTCTCCGTTGCTGGAGTTGACTTAAGCTGTCGCACGTTCCCTTTAAAACAAATGTGACTTTTTCACCAGCAAGCATTTTTTTGTTTTTTCGCAGGGGGTGTTAAGTTTGGCCAAGTCTTTGTGAGGGTTGCTAGGCTAGCGGGAAGCCCCAATGATCTCAAGGGGTTCTTTGGGGATATCCGTAGGATCATGCACTCGGTCTTACTTTTGCTAGATTTCACATCGTTTGCTGACATGCCCAGTTGGATATGTGATTTTTCTGCGTATCCCAACCTTGTTTGCCTCACGTCCCCATAAGAACACTTGACTCTTGGAATGTAAAACTAACGCGGGATGTGGATTGTTTGGGGACACGGCAGCTGGAAATGTGTATCCGGCTTGGGTAGCATAGCATAGTGTCATTTCCGGCTCCATATAGTTTCTTCCCTTTCCAAAGGTTCTGAAGACGTGTGTGCGTCCTAAAGAATTCCTCATAGGTGATCACCTTCTGGCTCTTTTTGGAGTGTCCAAAAGGCAAGTTCTTCAGCACTCTTTTTGTCTTTCGGATCCATCAGCCCAATCTGCCGCTGGGAAGACGTAGGCATCTCATGCCTAGCCGGTTCTAGGGGCCGGGGAAATCCAAAATCCGATGCGCGAGTGAGAGCAACTTGCTGGCATCGAAGCCTGGGAGTTTTTGCTTAGGCAAAGTAGCACATGGCGTTTCGTGCAAGTTTCTTTGCGGGAAGGAAAAAAAACGGAATCTGAAAGCTGAGCCTACTTAACGGGCGGCACCACCATTGCCCTCAGGCATGTGGGAACAAAGAAATGCTGCTGAGGTGGTCCGTGATATTGCCCCGTTCGGGGTGAATGAAAGTCGGGCGCGGTTGGTTCTCTGTTGGTCTTCCCTGCGACGGTCCTGGCAGAAATGCAGAGACACAGAGACACAAACAGAGATTACACATCACAAGCACCCCCACGAACACAAAGAAGCACAAACAGACAAACGCAAACAAAATCAAAGGGACACGCACCGGACACGCGAACACACACGAACACACAAACAAACACAAACAAACACACACACACAGACACAGACACACAGACACACAGACACACAGACACACAGACACACAGACACACAGACACACAGACACACAGACACACAGACACACAGAGACACGGAGACACGGAGACACGGAGACCACAGAGACACAGAGACACAGAGACACAGAGACACAGACACAGACACAAACACAAACACAAGCACAACACACAAAGACACAAAACCGCAAACAAACATGCGCACATCGCCAAGTGGAACACTCCCGCCCCTCAACATTCCCCCCAAAGCAAAATCAGAAGACTGGGGGCTCAAATGAGGCATTGCACCCACAGCAGGGCTCAGCAAACAGAGACAGAAGCTGCAGTGAGGCCTCACAATGTTTTGGCTGAATTAAGCTTAAAATTGCCTTAGCTTTCTTGGTGGTGGGGGGGGGGGTTAAGCGACCCCTCTCAGCTGAAAACGACCCCCCTCCCTGCCCCCCGACCCAAAGAAAAAGAAATCAAGGCAATTTTAAGCATACTTAAGCCAAAGAGCTCTGAATGACCGGAAGCGGTGTCAATTGATTGAATCCTCTCCTTCACCTGCCAGGTTAAGCCCCTTAAAACCAGCCCATGTCACAGTTGCAAGCTTAATTAGGCTGAATGAGGCCCAACTACTTTTGCGAGCCCCAGCATGATCTTAACTTTGTTTTTTAATCTTCGGGCGGGGGGGGGGGGGGGAATTGAGGGGAAGTGTTCCACTTGGTGAACACAAACAGGATCACAAGCACAGCACCAACACAAACAACATCACGTACACACAGACACAGGGCACTCGCAGTCACACAGAAAAACACATACATACATACATACATACATACATACATACATACATACATACATACATACATACATACATACATACATACATAAACACATACACACGTACATACAGACAAACACACGTACACATCTCTACACACACAAATACAACAACAGACACACACGCACAGTCACACCCACGCACAAGAGCAAATACAAACACACACTTAGAAACACACCCACACACCCACACACTGTCCCACTCGCTCGCTCGCTCGCTTCGCTCCCTCCACTCCACTCCGTTCCGTTCCGTTCTGTTCCGTTCTGTTCCGTTCCGTTCCGTTCCGTTCCGCTCTCTCTCTCTCTCTCTCTCCCCACTCACTCACTAGGACCGTCTGTTATTGTGCCACAAACTTAGGCACGTTCTTAGCCGCGGCGGCCACGTTGCTCTTACCCGCAGCGGCGGCTGAACCCACCGGTATGCCCAGCGTGAGACTGGCGCAAGACGCGTTTCGCGCCGCTTGCGTGGCAATCTGCGGGTGTGTTGGGAGGGGACTCAGGCATGAACCTTTTGGCGTCTGGGAGGTCGGGAGAATATCTCAGTGGTCGAATGGACCTGTTGACCTTCTGCGTTGCCTGCCATATGCCTGCCATGTTGGGTGTTTTATTCAAGGTCCAATGGTTCCAATTGAATTCCAGCTCTGTTCGCGCAGACAGGGAAAGTAGCACGTTTTCTCCGAGCCGACTAAACGACAAGAGCATGGATAATTATTGCTTGTTGCATTTGTTTGCCATTTGGGTGCAAAAGTCAACAAACCCCGTTCGGGCATGCGATTTGAACCTGGTGGCCTGAAAAATTGACCCCTTAGTGACTCGCAAAGCCTCAATTTGAAAAGCAGGACCCTGAGCTCGTTAGAGATTTGTCCCAGGGACCATCCAACAGTTATATAGTACAAGAGTCTTTGACCATCTATCATTGGTTGGGGGGAGGTGAGGGCCCACCCGAATTCCTCATGAAAACCTGGAAAAACCACCTAAGTTGAAAAGAACGTTGTCGCCTACGGTAGGTCCAACTCCCCGCATCCGATGTGCTTTGGTGCTACCCACCTTGGCCCCTGAAGGGCGGCCAACTGGGTTTCCGCGGTGCTCACGGCTCACGGCTCGGCCAGGGTAACATTCGCAACCCGGCCAAGGGGAAGGCGTAGGAGCAGGTGGAGAGAGCATCCAGTTCTCTAAATGGGTGTGAGTCAATATTACACCACTACAAAACCGCAGATAGTCCATGTTTTCATTTGCTAGGTTTCCATTTTGGGACCCACGGCCAAATAATGATCCTCAAAAGCAGTTGCGACGAGTTATCCCTTCCTATTTATGAACCCCAAGAATCAGCACCTCCCCAGCCGACCCCACAAATTGCCAATGATGATTTTGAGCTACGTACCCAATACTAAACCAATACTAAACTCTCTGTAAATCAGATGAACGCAGCCAAGCTCCCCGGATGTGCTCATTAACATTCACCCTCGCCATGATCGATACTAATGCCTTGCGTGAGCGGTTGTCAAATGTTGTATTCTGAGTGGTTTGTTCTTCCAATCCGAAGGGTTGGCTCGGGTGAGCGGTTTTTAATGTTCTCGTTTGAAGATCACAAGGGCGTCTTCCCTTTACAAGTTCTTACTTAAAAGCTGCATTCTAAACATTGTTTTTTGCTAATTGGAGGGGTTCCTTTTTTCCAATTGGAACCCAACACTAAGCATCGCAATCTGAAACAGTTCCCTCCAAGGCTTGTTTTTGTTGGGAGGGGGACCGTTTGTTATTGGAGGGACAGGATTAAGGTTCTTGAACGTGTTCAATCCAGCTTTTCCCTTCTTTTGTTTAACAGTTTCCCCTGGCAATGCTCCGGAATCATGGCTTCCTTTCAGTGATTCAGGACCGATTTACAAAGCAGGTGCTACAATCTGACATTCAATTTGAAGTGGACCGAATGCGGGTGGGGATTGATAGGTTATTAGAAACAAAAACATGGTACATGTATTCGGAGGCCAAACCAAGGCCCAAACGCACGCGCATAATTATTCATGTTGACAAGCCATTCCTAGTCGCTCTTGGAGCTCCATGTCAGCTATGTATGAGTGCCAAGCAGTGTCCACACTCTGCTAAGTATGGGGGGCCCTTCTTTCAATTGTTGTCGGACTATTTCCCTATTGTCGGAAGCAAGGGCGGTTCCTTTCAGCCCGGCCCTTGTGGGGGGATCGATCCTTTCTTTGGAGGCTTAGGTGTTTTCATGGAAGTTGTGTTTCTCTTTGTGCCTCTAGCTGGTTGGAAGGGAGCCCTTCAGAGCTGGGGCTGGGTAGCCAAATTTACCAAACAAAGCAAGGTGGGAGCCTTTCGCAGCTACCAGGTGTGGTTTTCAGTTTTTTCTACCACCTTTGGATTTGACGCTTCTGGGCTCCATGCATCCCGGGAGTGAATTCCCGTTGCCACGTTTTGTGGCTTGCCTGGCTAGCGCCAGGAAAGCAATGTGCCGTTGCTAGGTGGCATGTTGAGCGCTTGCCCTATTCAGGTTCATTGCAACTCTGAATGTGTGTGCAATTGGGTACATACGAGTTTATAATACACACATGTGTTTTCGTTTGCTTAATGTGTTTGTTCATTCATGTGTTTTGTGTTTTCTGTTTGGTTGGTTCGCTGAGCTGTTTCTATACATGCATAAATGTTTATGGCTTGTATTTTCTTTTGTGTATCCCAGTTGGCCAACAAATATGGTTGGCCTTCACTTGACCAGAGGGTTCCTGCGCGCTTCAGCAGTTGCGAGAGGTTTGCCCTTGCCAAATTGGGGCAGCGTACGCACATACGAGGCAGGGTGAGCGATGGTGTTGAGTCCAATGGGGGGTGCAAAGTCAAATGCGTGTAAACCACAATTTGTAGCACGTCTCCTCATTGTAGAAGCACGCCATTTAATCAATCACTTATTTCGCATCATCTTTTGAACGTGCCATCATGGCAACGGGTGTTGCACAGTGGCATTGCCTCACGCAGTGAGCTCACAGAGGCCCGCGTCCGCGCACCACCTTTGAAGAGGAGGGAAAATGTAAGTTGTATGGGAACGTGTGCTATCATTTCAGCGCTGCATGAATCACTTTGGAGCTGGAGATCCCCGCACGGGACCGGCCGGCTTTTGAGGTGTAAATCAATTGCCCTTGTGTTCAGTTGGTGAATTACCCCCCCGGCTCCCAAACGTGAGAGTACACATGGTTTTCTGTTCAATCAAAAGTCTTCCACACGATGCAGCTGTGATGTTGGCAACGCGCCTCGAGCAAGGGCCCCACCAGGCCCTTGGATTTCTTGTGGTCCTACGAGGTTGGTCTTTGGGTCTTCAGGATTTCCTGAGCAACCTGAAATTAAGCTGCAACCTTGTCGAACTCTAGTTGGGATCGCACACACATGGTCTGGTTTCTCTAGGCACCCTTTGTGGGTTGTTGATTTGGGTTTTCCTTTGAAAACCACCCATACCTAGTGCCTCATGGTTATCATGTATTTACCATTCAACCAGGGAGTACCCCAGCCGTCACTATGAAAGCCACAGCACTGAGCATGCTTTGTTAGAAAGCCACAAGAGGATGGATAGTTGTTGCAGTTGTTCAAGGCGCGGTCCCAAGTATCACTGGTAATACATGTTCCTTGTCCAGGCCCTGCGTTGTCTACAAGTTGTTATTCTGTACACAGTGTTATTTCTTCAGCCCCTGCCCCTTTGACCACATTGGGACGTGCTTTTCCCAAGTTGGTTGCGGCCATGCGGCAGGCTCACATATGGCTTACCTTGCGGGCAGGTCGCAAGGGCTCCAGGCAGAACGGAAAGAGAGGCCAACATCCAGGCCATGAAACGTGCATCAATCACAAGGCAATGGTTGCGGGACATGTTGCGTTTTCGGGCCACTCTCTGTGATAAGGGAATCCCGTTTCAAGTTATAAAGTAGTCATGAGTCACTCCAAAGGCTGCCCTCAATTGATATGCGCATGGCACAGGGATCGCACCGGGGTATCTCCTATTGCGACCCCCTGGCCCGCAATGGCCTCTTTAACTTTGTTTTTTGCAACCAACCAAGCAACGCCTAAGCCTTTTCAAGACGCCCTTGTCTCTTGCTTAGCTGGCGGGGCCGCAACTCGATTTCCCACGGAGCGAACTTGTCGCCATGTGGGGCTGCGGCCTCTCGTGCCAGGCAGGGGAGCGATTTAGCCTTTCGCATGAAAACGTGTTCGTGTGCGTGTGTGTGATTTGTATGTGGGGTGTGTGTGTGTGAGGTGTGGGTGTGTGTTTGTGCGTTTGTGCGTTTGTTTGCGTGTGAACTAGCCATGGACTTTCGGGGAAGGGGCCAGGGAGCCGGGATGCTTGAAACCAACTAGGGGGCTAAACAGCCCAGTTGACCCCAAGATCATTGGTTAGTTGGTCCCTTTCACCTCTTGGTTTTCCGCAATGTCCCAGCGCAAGCCATTCCCCAAGGGTGACTTTGGGCAAGTGACTCCGGTGATTCTTTTCGCCAGGTGGAGGTGCTGAATGCCGCCACGATGATTCCCCCTGTCTTCAGCGCGCTGGCGGGGTGCTGGCTGGAGCACAAGGCCTGGGTTTTCATGGCCATTATTTGCAGCCACAAGATCCAACTACTTGGGCCGATAGCAGCTGAAATTTGTGGGCCTGGCTTGCCCGGCATAGTTCAAAGGTTGCCACATCCGGAGAAAAAACAACGGGCCTCAGCCGTGTCAGCGTTCTGGGTCATATGTCCGCCTAGCTTCAGGCCGCGTGTGCCCCTGTCACCTGAACCTTCTGACCTGCAAAACGTCAGCTGCCTGGCCTGGGCCTTGTCTTCCTTCCGGCCAGTGGAACATCTCTCCGTTCACAACCTTCGGCTTCGGCTTTGGCCAGTTGAGCCTCAGATTTGGGCCTGCTCCCATGTTTCCCTTGCTGGGCATCAGCTCGTCACCTCTCTTGCTTCACGCGCCTGGGCTGGATGCGGAGCTTCACGGCTTGTCAAAAGCTGTCCGCCGTTGAGTGGTCCGGCGAAGCGCCGGCGCGGGAGTCTCAGGTTCGGCTCAGGGTTTTCCGCCCTGCCACAGCCGTCGTAGGCTTCGGTCTGTGGCTCAGCGACTGTGGTCAGTTTAGATGGCCTTGGAGATGTTCGATTCCACCACCAGAGGAGCTGCTTTGGTTCTTAAACCGGGTGGGTGCCCTCCGCTCTGTTGGGTGAAGCACCCCAACCCCCAATCCCCATTGTAAACCAGAATTAAACTACTCGCCCCACCGCACTTTTGCAGCCAACCGTTTCCCTCAAGGAGCTCGCACATGTTTGTCCCAAGTGTCCATAGCCTCGCCCCCTCGCCCCCTCGCCGCCCGAGCGACCCGGTTCCCGACTCCCGGTGCGGCTCCAGGCTTGGTGGCGATCCAACTCCACGGTGGCGCTGCTGGCGGGCTGGCTGGGCATGATCCCCTTCAGCGCCGCCTCCCACCTCTACTGCGCGCTGCACGGCCACTACCATCCCATGCTGCTGCGCCTGGACCAGACGGGCCCCCTGGCGGACTGGAGCCCCGAGCTTTGGATTCGGCCAGTTCAGTAAAAAGAAGAAGCTGGGCGGCTTTGTCTGGCCAATCTACTGGGGCTTTGTGAGAATTCAAATGGGTGTTTCTCAAAATGCTAGACCTCCTTTTAAGTTGGACTTTCAAGATAATCTACCAGGAAATCATCAGCTGGGTGGACATCTAGACCCATTTTTAGGGGACTAGACCCCTTTTACGTTGGTATTCAGAGAGAATCCACCAGGAAACTTTGGCGCATTTTGCTTGGATGTTAGGACTTCAACTTTGTGCCAACTCATGGTTTAGTGGAACATTCCGTATTAAACCACAAATTAACTTAAACAACAAAAACTACTTTGGGGGAGCAGTTTCAGCAACCGAGGACATCGGAGCGACCCATTTAACCGGGGGACGAACTCCGATTCGGCCGATGTGAGATTGAAAGACGGCAGGCATCTCCCTGGCGAGCATTTGCGCCGCCTGGGCACTGTCCAAGTCCTGCGGCTTCAGCTGCCTGGTGGCCTTGTTAAGCCTCAGCCGCTGGGACGAGAGGTTGCTTTTTTGTTCCCCGTGGTTTTGTTCGTTGCTGTTTTTTTCTCTTTGTCTTTTTTCTTTCGGGTTTCGGTTGGTTTAGGTGTTGGGTTTGTTGGGGTTGTTTGTGTCATTGTTTGCTTAGTTGTTAGTGTTTTAATGTGTTTGTGTGTGTCTGTCTGTCTGTCTGTCTGTCTGTCTGTCTGTCTGTTTGTTTGTCTGTCTGTCTGTTTGATTGGTTGGTTGGTTGGTTGTTTGTTGTTTAGTTATTGTGTAGTTGTTGTTTAGTGTTTGTTTGTTGAAGCCCCCTCCCCGGAACCCACACATGTCCTAATGATTTCCCCTTTTGTGGTTTTAAGCATCGCCTTTTGGGCCAGTTAAAAGTGTATAAGTGTGTTCCTTGGCGGGGGTGATGTTTTAAGGGGGGCAACCCCACGTTCAAACGCACGGGAAGCCACAAGGAAGTTGTTTAGACAAAAGTCCTCAATGCCGCGAACCACGCGTTTTTTGCTTTGCAGCGGAACATCTTGCAGTTTTAAGTTTTAAGTGTGTTGTTTGCAGCTTTAGTTGGGGAGCTCAGTGAGTTTGTTCAAGCAGTGTGTGTGTGTGTGTTTGTTGCTGCAGCTGTTGTTTTTTGTTGGGCAAGTCCGTGTTTAAGTACGTAGTCATTGTATGTTCTGTGTGCAGTTTAGCTGGGTAACTTGAAGTCTCTAATAAGTGTTTGTTTGTGTAGTGTAGTAACTACACAAATTATTCTTGACTGGGTAACTCAGTGTTGAAGTAGATTTTGTATGTGTTGTTTATTTGTTTTCTTCCGCAGTTATTTCGCCTTTTTGCTTGAGTAACTTTGATTCCAAATTCCAAGTATAGTGTGTGTGTGTGTGTTCTTTCCCACTTCAGCGGATTTTACCCGAGGGTTCCCCAGTAAGAATAGTCAACCCCAGAAAAGAGCCCCTTTTCCAAAATAAAGTCCGCTCGGGCCACTGGTCAACTGGGTTTATGTGGCTGTGTCTTTTTCTGGGGGTACCGTTTTTGGGAGTTGCTTAACGGGAGAAAGGGTGACCACCCAGTTTGCAGATGTCCTTATTTGTCAAGGCCAGGGTGAACATTCAAAATGCTACCTGAACTTCGGATTGTATGGTTCAGAGGACTCTACTGGATCCCACTAATCAGAAAGCTCCTGCCTGATTCGTTTCGTTGCTAAGCGCGTCATATCGAGCCAGGAAAATCAACCCGTGACAAGCTTCGATCATACCTGAGGGGGTGTAGTGGAGTGTGATTTTTAGGTATCTTCTAAGATCACCCCCTTTTGGTAGATTGTAGGGCGGGCAAGTGAGTTCAGGTGACCTGAAGGGGAGCTCTGCTTTGGACATGGTTGGTTGGATTGTCAAGGCTTGGCATTTGGAATGCCATTTCCGGCTGGAAATGGTGACATGGGCCGCCGGAGGCAAGAGGCACACGAGGGATGGGAATTCCAACCTCGCCATGGCAACATCTGGAGGTCCAAAAGCCTCCCTCAACCCCCAGCGATACAGCCGAGGCGAATGCAGGGTTCCTTAGGTCTCCCCTTTTGGTAGATTTGACTGTAGACATAAACAATTTTTGGGTCGCCCTCAATTTTAAGACATCCCTGCGGGGTGACTTTTGTAGGTTGAACAGCTTGTTGCAGCTCGTGCAGATCGTCGCATACTCTGTTTAAACAACCATCTCCTGGCTTTCCATCAATGGAAGTCAAAACTCGCTCCCTGAGTTCCTGGACTTTCAACTTGTTGGGAATAAAAAAGCTTTGAGAGGAAGAGTTGTTTTCCACTCATGGCTTTCTCGGCGAGCTGAGCGGTTGAATCGCGTGATTGCCAAGGCATGGACGCTTTGATGTTCTTCGGCCCGGAGCATTTGCGAGATCACGTGGAGTGGCGAACTACCGCACTGGCAGGCACGGTTGGACCCAAATCACCCCAGGCTTGCTTCGACCGTCCCCCCCCCCTCGACCATCATGGGACCAGAAGTGGGGTCTCCTGCAAGACTATGTCATGTCTCAGTGTGGACGAAATATGGAACAGATTCGGAAATTCTTACGTTTTGCGGGACATTTGGGGGCCTTCGATTGGGTTCCTTGGGCTACCATGGAAGCCCCCTTTGAGCCCAAAGACTTTTCCAAAGACTTTTCTTTATTGGGTGCCAGTCTTTCCCATTTCGGGTACCCTTTGATTGCTCCGGGCCCGACGTCAAGAGGCCAGTGGCCTCCAATCAGGTGTCATCATACTGGGAGGGGTCTGCTTAAGCCGTAGGGGGGACGCGTCCAGGTGTTGTAACTGTCCTCGGGATCTTCCAAAGCCTTGGGTTGCCCTGTTCGAGGAGAGGACGCAGGGGAACGGGCCATACTCACTCAATTGCTGCCTGTTGTCGGGCGCGTGTCCATGGGGGCACAACGAGCTCACTATCATGAACGTAGTTTACTTGCGGATTTTGGGATTCCTCATGGGAGGTATTGAAATGATTCTACATGTTGACATCATTTGCTGATTATTTGCTGATTTGTTCTAGGGTAGGGGACCTCTTTTTTGAGCCACCCTGAAAAAAGAACCTCCAGAGGAATCTGGAAGCTAGCAATACCCAACAAATTGGGTGACAAACGTCATGGAGATTTGGCTACAGCTTGCCTGTTACCGGCAAGCCTTTGGAAGATGATGGTCGCTTTCCAGAACCCAGCTGTCTAGTCGCGTTTGGCAGCCTATGATCTTTCTTCTAGTAAACGGGTTGGATGTGGCCTTTGAATCTTTACTAGAAAAGGACCAATCAGGGGGAACAACAGCTGAAATCCGCAACAAGCGCATCCAACCAGTTTTCCAGATTCCTTTTCTTCCTAAGCTTTGTGCAGCCGCTAGTTGATATTGTTCAAGCCCCCGGCATGTTGATATTGAGGAAGGACGGCTACCAAATAGATGTTCCAATTTGAGCCCTGCCCAATACGCAAAGCCCATACCCCCAACCCGGCACGGCATCCTTGAAGTCATACAGCGTGGCCGGGTCTTTGACCCCTTCCTCCCCAAACCCTGAATATGCCTCCCCAAGCCATCCTTGCAAGTTTGCCAGAGCCTCGGCGCTACTAGTTTTGGCCAACCTACCACTCCACATGCGACTTTGCTGATACGTTTCCAGGGTGCCTGACCTTTGGCGCTTTCTCCAACCCTTTATAACCCAAAAGCCTGTCTTGCCTCGAGGATGTGAAACTCATGCAACTTAGACCTGTTGAGATGTTCAATTGGAAGCGCTGACTTTTTTTTTTATGTCCACTTCTGACATGGTCACCCATCATTGCTCTGGCATGATTTGGGCCAGTCAACCAGCCCCCCAACCCCACACGCAAACACACCGCTACATGACAAAGCTCCACCTTGGGATTCCAAAAAAGCAACAGGAGAAGCTTTCCGACATGTTTGTGTGCAAGAGAGTGCTTCTCAGCTATGTGGCTGCGCTCGTCGGGTTCTCTTGGGCACACGTCAGAGACAAAGACGTGCGTAAGTCGGGAATGAATCCTGACTTCCAACCGAATGATTTCTGGTCAAGGTGATGCTTACCCCATCAAACAGTCATTCCGGGTATTCCCCCCTTTAAGCAGGGTCATGTCTATGTTGACTGACTTTCTAGAACAGCTTTGCTTGCAATCTGCAATCATGTAAGGCTACAAGGATCAGCGTTTCTTGATTTGCCTGGTTTCCAGATCTATAAAACCCTGATAGCCGCCCAGTTTGCTTGAAATGATATCGATCACGCCGAGGTATCGTGCTCCTCTATTTGAGCCCGATGGTTTGGAAGAGGGACACGGTGGATCAAAGCAGCTCAGCCGCACCATGTGTCTAGCCCCCAGACAACGTGGACGGGTTCTAACCAACGGGTTCCAGCTTGCAAGGGCCAATCATGCGTGCAGCATCCTCGAACGTAGTTGCTAGAGCCCATTTAGTCATCGATGTTCAATTAGTTCGCCCCAGAAAAAAAAGGCAAAGGGAATGTATTGCTTGTTTGTTGCGGACGGATTTGGTGCGTGAAAGTAATGGTCTTTCTTTGCTTTGCCGTTTCAACGCCATCCATCCAAACGGGACCCCTACAGAAGCGGAAAGGAAATGCCCACAACCATTCCACACCCCTATCTAACTGTGACATTTGGGCTGTCAAAATAGGGGGACCCCACAAGCGGTCGGCTTCCTTTCCCCAGAAAGGGAACCCTCAACATATTTTCACGCAGATGCTTGCTTTTCAGTCCGGTGTTCTTTTCCTTTTTGGGGTATGCTCCACAAAAGGCGAGCCAACTGCAGGCATCTTGCCCATCCTTTCCTGCTTTGTGGCGGGTGCTGCGCTTGCGCTCCTGGCGCCTTTGGGCCCCTACAGCCATCCCGTCTTCCACTTGCTGCTGATCCCCTACAGCTTCTACGTGCCGGGCTCCACAGGATCACACTTCCTGCACAAGGGGCGATCGGCTACTTAGTACAGTATCTAGTTAGTAAGTCTGGTTGTTATATTACCCATGGTAAGCGGGTTAAAACCAGGCTTACTAACCACTTACTAAGTACCCTGGCCCTTTAAGCGGCTGCATTTCCTGGACTGTCAGGACAGTACAAGATTCTTGGGAACGACATGTTTGTGGCAAGTTGGCAAGCGGAAAGCTTGGACCTTCGGCCAATCCCAGAAAGTGAGAACAAGAACCCCACAGATCAAAAGAAAACAGATGAGCAGCACCTAGGCATTTTGCCAGTTCTACTGCCTGGCGTGTATTTAGCGATTGTAGAAAATATTCGAAGGGCTGGTACTGACCCGCGCGACTTTTTCATGCGAGCTAATAATAGACAGACAATGTCTATGTACCAGGCTGACGCCTGACTGCCACCGACCCCTCGGGATGGCTGGGAGGTCCGGGTGTCGGGGAGGGCTGACATGGTGTAATTTTGTGCAGCGCGGAATGTGGACTTGTCGCAGCTGCCTGGGGCAAGCCCAGCACCAACCCCAGCCAACCCTCCTTCATATTCTGTTCAACATCATGCAACGTTCAAGTCTTTCGGCCTTCAGGGGCAGGTCCAGAGCCGGGCCCGGGGGAGGTCCCGGGCTGGTCCTGGGAATGTGCAGTTTAAGAAAATGAAGAGTTCCCCGTATGGCGCATAGTTCAATAGTTCAATAGTTGTAAGCCACGCCGGTCCCCTCCTCAGTGTGAGTGGGCTGACAGCAGGGGGGTCGGCGGGGGATGTGTCCAGTGCTGAGCGTGTGAGCGTGTGCTCTTGAGCAGGTGCGCGTGTGATTTGGCAGAATATGCCGAGCGTGTGCACTTGAGCGGGTGCGCTTATCGTTGGGCAGGTATGTGTGACTAGTGCCGAGCGCGTGCTCTTGAGTGGATTGTCTTATCATTGGGCAGGTGTATGTGTCACTAGTGCTGAGATTGTTTTGTGGAGCTGTTCGAGTATTATGGCTTCCTGTTCTGGAGTTCGAATCAAATATGGCAAAGGCACATCTGTGTGCTTTGCGGGTGGTTGCGTGCATCCAGCCATGTGTTTATGACCGAAGTGTCCAATCGTATCCCCCATTTTACACATCGCCCCAGCTAGAGCAAACTATGCAGAGGAGTGAAACATTTACACAACCCGCCATTGAGGCTGCTTACAGGGACACCAACAGGGAATTTCAAAAGGTCCTCGATGAAGTTATCGCAAGGTACTACCTAAAATTCACCCAGATACGTGTCCATGTTTCCGCATAGTTGGGGAACCCGACCTTTGGGTTGAAGTCTACCTTTGGATTTGTTGAAGGGCGGGCGAAGCCAGCGGCAGAGTTTGTGTTTTGAGGTACCTTTTTCTGGGGCCCGCTCGTAGTTTACACCTGAAATCGATGAGCTCCTCACCAAAGGCGAGCCACCGCTGACTAATGGTTGCATTTACTACTGAGTCGGTTCAGGCACTAGTTGTTTGCTTAGCTGTCATCGTATGGTGTCACATGAACCGATGGGAATGTTTTTTCAGCGGATGCGTGTGGAGCCACGGGACATTGCACTCTTTGGTACCAAGGGCATGCCATTGTGACAAAGTCCTCAATGGTGGGAATCCAATTTTGCAATCGATTGAAGGCGACCCTGTTCGAAGTGGTGCAGGATGTTGCTTTTGATAGATGCTTGCAGGCGAACTGAAAACTTAGCCAATGTAAGGTGCTTCAACCACTTAGTTTTAGCCTGCTGGGTGTGTCCCCTTCCCTTCTTGGGGTTGTTTTGAAGCGAAACCAAAAGGACGTTAGCCAATTTTAGTTGTGCGGCACCTCGATCACACAACGACACGCACGTATCTGCTTGTTAGCGGAACTTACTGTGTATGACTTTCTCAGGGATAACTTTCCCTCGCCCAGATCCCCCAGTCCCGAAAGGAAACGAGGCTTTGGGCCAGGTCAACAAGACCTACCAAAAGAATGGGGAACACCTTCTGGGTGATTTGTGAACGGGCAACAGGAAAGACACCAACTCTGAAATGTGTCAAGCATGTCGAACCAATAAGTAGAAGGGACACCCCTGATTTGATGGGGTTTCCACGAAAACAGTTTTACACTTGGGTAGGCAAAATATAAAATTAAATCTGAACATGTTTCTTTCTGTGCACCCCAGATGTGGGCAAGTTTGATGCCCAGGTCAAAATCTGCCAGCGTGTACGAGAGCTCCTTGGAACTGCGGGCTATGAGCCCCGAGTTCTCTTTGGAGGCGCTTGCTCGCCTCGGCGACCCGTTTTTTGGGGACGTTCACCTTGCAGCGCGGAAGGACATGGATTGCTGGACAAGCAAATGCGCAAAGGGAAGGATCTCTAGAACCTGCGCGAGAACTCTTTGCAGGGTGCTCAAAGCCCAACTTGGCATCGTTCTTTCTCTATTGAGGGAGTGAGGCGGGGATTCCTTCTGCTGGTTGCCCTCTTAGTGTTCAGGCGTGCGCCTTGAGGCGGACTGGAAGAGCTTACTCCATGTCTGGAGTTCGATTCCTTGGACGGCCTGGCTTTAGGGTTCAAAGGTTTGGTTTTTCAGTTATTGTTTGGGGGAGAGGAGAACCGATTGCCCATTCTCAGCCCAGGAGGAATGGATGTACCATGATACATGCTGGTTGATACAAATGCTGCTCAGTCCCATTTGTGAGTTGTAAAGTGGCATCCAGTGTGTTTCTTTCTTGTGGTTTTCTAAATCAAGCTACCAAAGAATGGCCCCTGAAAGGATACATGATGGGGGCCAGCCCAAAAACTAAAAGTTACTTCAACCTGCTAATATTGGGACAAATCACATCAAACTGGTGCAGGATTTCGTTCGGCGCCCAACGCCATTGGAAAGAACCACAAAGTCGGAACGCTGAGATGCCTTGCCAGGATGGCAGCGACACAGATGATGGGTCCGTGCTGAAGGAGGTTTTCCTTGCTGGGGACATTGGAAGCTGGCTGACATATTCCAAGGCACCGTAATTTCCGGCAGAATTGGTGATTGTTAGTTTCCCTTGATGCAAGCAGACTGTATGAGAAGCCATTCCCTGTTTCACTCTATGCTGTCAATTCATTAGTCCTGTTCACTTTTGTTGCCGGATTCAGTGGAACTGTTTCAGTTCGTGATCGTTGATTTGCACTATTGATTGGCGTCAACGGGCAATCGTCATGCTTGGAGCCGGAAGGCCCTAAATCGTTTAGAATGGGTTTGTGGTCTACGCAAGTGCAAAACAGAGTCATGCTCATAGGATCTTGTGTAATCCTTTAGCCCCTAGGTTCCACATTTGTTGGTGGAGCTCAACAGGAAGGTGAGTTCTCGCGGCTTAACATATACCCATCGACGGTTTGAGGGCCTTCACGCTTCAAGGTGACGTGTAAAATATGAGTGAACGTGCCCCACGGATGGGTTTGCCTCGTGGGGTGTGTCTTGCCCATTTTGGTGCTGAGGGGAAGCCTGAAAACTGGGCATGTTTTTTCCATCAGACACAGCCCTTGTGCAGGTGGCGGGTGCTCAGTTGGTCACCTAGGCCCCCCTTTGGGGTTGCACTAGCTGAACAGCGCCAGAAGGTTCGGATGGTGAACCATTGAGCACGTGTAAAAACTGCGGCTTCACTTTGTTTCCTTAGTCACCCTTCCCACAAGGGTGCTCCATCAATTTCCTTTCATTAATAAAAAGTACAGTCAGTACAGTCTCCTCCTCCCCCCATGGCATTCCTCGGGAGAAACTATCGAATGTGCAAATGGACCACACCAGGCGTTGTTTTGAGCCCTTCAGGCAGCTCGGTTCGGCGAGTTTGTTTGGTCAGATGTTGCCTAGGTCTGCCTCAATTCGGATAAACATAATTTCATTCGCAGCATAAACACAACTTCACTAGCAGCACACATTTGTTCATAAGCGGATACCTGCGCTTACTTCTTTGGGCAGTGCGACCTGCGCTCGCATTTGGATTGGCCGATTTCGGTCGGCCCCGAATCCAGCGGCCATGTTCACCAGAGCTAGTGCTGGATGAGTCCTTCTTGAAACTCCGTGGCTTGAGGCCTCTTGGGTTGTGTAAAAAGCTTGGTTTTAGGATTAGGTTGCATTCCACGTTTGTAGGAGATGGGGCTTTAGGAGCCATTTCTGTGGCACCAACCCTTGTGAAGTGATGGCGTATTATGGCCTACTTTGCAATCACGGGCTCAAGGGAGCAGTTGTTTGTCAGTGCGTTTTGAGAAGGGCTTATCTTTTTCTTGGACGTCGGCTCGCCAGTTGGTGTTTCCGCTGTGCGATTGTGCCGGTTCGAGGTCAAAATGCCAAGTGTCGTGGTTCAAGGAAGGAATTCGGCTGAACGCCCTTCTTTTTCTCAAGCGAGAAATTCGCAAGCAGAGAGGAGCCCTTCTTTCCCACCCAAAAGCTTTGCGAAGCCTGTCACTTGGACCTCTATTCTATTTTCCAGTTTCGGTGTGCATCTCGGATTGACGAGAAAGTGGCGCCGGGATGTACGGTTCAGAAATTAGGACTGCAGGCACGCCAAGATGTGGTCGCAAGAATCTTGGACACCCAAGCCCCCAGCCCCAAGGGACCCAAAGGGTCCCTTCTCCGTTTGGGGTCCCACCCCTATGGCTGGGCATTTGGGAGTTTTCCAGGCTTGGAGCGAACAGCTCAGACCTGTTTATGGGGCACAAAGCGGCCGGATTTGACCCTTTTGAGTGTTTTGCGGACATGGATCCCCATGAACATGGTGTGATCCATTCCTAGATAAATATATATATATATATATTCAACACGCTCATATACAAATGTGTATTTATATATCTTAATATATATATATATATTTAGATGTACAGATGTATATATATATATATATATAATTTAATCTATCTATCTATGTATCTATCCAGCCATCCATCCATGCATGCATCCATCTATCCATCTATCTATCTATCTATCTATCGATCGATCTATCTATGTATATATACATATACCTAGGAATTATATAATATATACATATCCGAACGAATATATATATATATATATATATATACACACATACTTGTCTGTGTACTTGTGTATGTGAAGGCTTGTGAACAACTGCCAGACGCACAGGCCGGCGCAATTGCCCTGTAGACAGGCGGTCTGCGGTTTGAGAAAAGCCCGCGGCGTGAAATTGGGTGCGGCAGTGGCTTCCGCTGTGGACGTTGCTCCATGTGATGATGGAGTGGTGTGTGTGTGTGTGTTTTTTCTTTAAGAGCCCTGAAGGGCACGTAGGAGTGCCAACACGCAGCCTGCTTAATGAAGATTGGCTCGAGACTAATGGTCTGAAAGGGTATGTTTGGGCCACTGAGAAGGCGATCAGAATGCAAAGCAGGTCCTGTTTGGAGTTTGGATGTAGTCTGTGAGGAAATCTGATTCACTGTTGAAGGCTCGGCTATGGGACAGTTGGGCCAAATTGGCTTGAACAACCAGGTTCGGGTATCCGCCTTTGATTTATGGTAAAGGGTGGACGCCGTTGCACAGGGCTTGGGTGTGACTCACTTGGCATTTTCATGGCCTCTTGAGCAAGAAAAGGCCTTTGTCCCATGGCATTGGCCTTTGGGCTTCCACTTTGTTGTGGTTCGGTGTCCATGGCACCTAGGAAGCCATGGTGTATATACGGCATACCGGGTGAGAAGTGGGACAAGCAAAACATGTATATTCAAATACAGGCGGCGAAAGAAAGACGGAAGCAAACAAAGAGACACAGAAAGAAAGGCAGCTAATGTGTATATATGTACATATATGTGTGTCTGTATACAATTTCGAGAGATACGGAAGAGCCAGCAGCTGCAAAAGGAAGGCATCAGCAGTAGATATAGAACTGCGTCGCGCGACGTGCACGATGCTGTACCACTTGATGCGTGCAAGCCAAATTGGAGCACGTAAGGGCACATTGTTCCCCTCACTATTTTTCCTTGGTCATCGTTTTTTGCAAGCTGCCAAGCGCTGTGTATCCGGCGGTGTCAGAGTGTGTTGCAGTTCGGGTGCTGAGCTTACATGGCTCTGCCTTCCGTTAATCAATGGAAGGCGGGCCCAGCGTGTTCGTTTGCACAGCATTTGGACCATGCGAAAGCCGGGCACACCATGCGCTGGCACTGGAAGTGTGCCGAAGAGCCTCCGAAGAATCAAGGATATGAATGACCATGGGAGGTTCCTAGAACATACCGCAATGGACGATGCTTGAACATCCACCAACTATCAACTATCGTCTCACTATATGATCCATGGGACCCATATTTGGGTTGGTATAGGGACATGGCTGCCCTTTGTACCGTCAACAATGTCTTACTAAGACATGAAACCCCCAGGCGAGCCACCTTAGATCCGGGCAAATCATTGCGTGCCTTACTTGGGTCCTTATCTCAGTTGTGTGAAGGATAGCACTTTGGCCAGACACACACACACACATACACACACACAGATATATATATATATATACATTATAGATAGGTAGATAGATAGGTAGATACATACGCCATATGCGGTTCTCCCCAAAATTGGGGGCCCCCTTCAAGTTGTTGGCTACCTTGCGGTTTCCCCTTCAAACCATCCAAAAAGGCAATGCCTACTTAGACAAACACCCAAGCATGCCCCAAGCGTATGTGTGGGTCTGCAGATTTTTCCAGTCGCATTCCGCGGCCATGTCGCGCCTAAGCTCCTGGTGGGCGTCGTCCACTTCTTCTCGGCGGCATGGAACCATCACGGCTCCTTGCAGTTCGCTGATGGATGGATTTGCCACCTTCAATTCGGCCCAATAAACGCTTGATTTCCACAAAGGAGGGCAAATGGGATGGTTGTTGCTTGTTGCGTAGCGCACTGTTTTGCTTTCTTTCCCTAAAGGAAGCCGAAGGGGGATGGTTATTGCTTATTGCTTTCCAGCTCCCCCCCTTTAGCAGCGTCCCAGTCATTTGGGGACCCAGGCAGTTGGGTCATGGGAGTTATGGGGCCATTTCAGAGGGCCCAGTTTCAATCCTTCAATAGTGGCGTTGCTGGTAAGCCACATCCTTTTTCTCATGTCCAGTTCCATCCTTGGTGAAAAACGCCAGGAAGTCTCAGGGCTCCCGGAACCCTGCGGCTTTCTCTTCAAATCCCCGTGCAGCGTGTGTTTGCAGGGAATCGCGTTTGGCTCCGAAATGTCCGGGCCGCAAAATAATGATTTCAGGGAGAATGTCGACCCCTGAACCTCGGGTAATCCCATAGAAGGGCGACACCTTTGACTCCAAAAGATGCGAGTTGTGGGTGGGTTTCCTCGGCCATGGCCTCTGGGAAAGATGTGTACTGGGCATCCTTTGTGGATCATGCGGGTCCCGCTGAAAAGCCTTGTAGCTGACCATCCTTCACAAGCCTCGCGATGTTCGATGGGGTGGATGAGGAAAGCCCTGTGTCGCACTTTCGTAGTTTCCCACTTTGGCCACAGGCAGGGGGGCCTGTTGAGGTTCGGGAGCTGACAGCTGGGAAGGATGTGGACAAGGCTTTGGAAGTTGACCTCGCGTCCCGACGGCTCAGTTTCTTAGTGGAGGTCGCACGTTGCGAATCCTTTTTGTTGGTAGATGGTAGGTCCCAACGCTAAAACAGCGGTCTCTGGGGGATTGATGGAGTAAGCCCCGGCCACGTTCAATTTCAAGATGTCCGGCCTGCCCCTTACACCTGAAACCCAGGGCTGCACACTGTGAAGTGGTGGAAGGGTGGGTCACACGATCAGAAAGGATCCATCACCTATCATTTTTCAAGCTCGGTTCCTCAAGGAACCAAAAAGTATGCAGGGAACATCCAGCATGTGCCTGCCAACTTTGGGTCCATGAGATGTTTTTGTTGGGCACGCCCTATGCTTCCAGGCAAGCAAGTCTATATAGGTAACCTGGGGAAGCAACATGTGAGAATGAAATTGGTGGAAATAATCCCGTGCAACCACAATGATTGCCTGGACGCACTAGGTGGGTCCAAGTCAGTTTCACATTTGAACCCTTTTGGGTGGCGTGCAACCTTGCTACTTGTTGAACTAGTCACCCACCAGTTCCATCGAGGTCTTGTTGTTGTTTTGCCTTCGGTATCTGGAGCCAAAATGGCACATTACTGTAATTGTCCAGCGCATTTTAGGGCCACCTTCTGGTGCAAGTAGGGTATTCCAGAACGATTAACCTCATTTAGCAAGAACACACATCAGCCCACACACACATTAAACCAGAGGCTGCCTGGGTTTTTAATTAATGGGCCCTGGAGCGATCCAGGGGGAGAAGGCTCAACCATGCCAAAAAGAGCAGGATTGAATCGCGTACCGGACAACCCTGCTTGATTTGAAGTGGGACTGGTTGTGACCAAGGGTAAATGATGTAAAAGGCGGAAATCCAGGGTGACCTGAAGCAGATCTGTAACTGTAGCTGGCAGACAAGTTGTGCGAAATGTTCCTTAGTTGATTGTTTTAATCTGTTGTGCTAAGGAAGCAGCTGCAGGAAAGTATGCAGGAATCCGTGAGTTGGTCGGTATTTTGCAAATCTCCAGCAGTAGCTGATTTCTATCAAATATTTGTTTATTTGCGTGTGTGTGTGTGTGTGTGTGTGTGTGTGTGTGTGTGTGTGTGTGTGTGTGTGTGTGTGTGTGTGTGTGTGTGTGTGTGTGTGTGTGTGTGTGTGTGTGTGTGTGTGTGTGTGTGTGTGTGTGTGTGTGTGTGTGTGTGTGTGTGTGTGTGTGTGTGTGTGTGTGTGTGTGTGTGTGTGTGTGTGTGTGTGTGTGTGTGTGTGTGTGTGTGTGTGTGTGTGTGTGTGTGTGTGTGTGTGTGCGCACTATCGCTGATGGGCATGCCTATTTTGGCGTTTCCAATTGCCAGACCAAAGGCTTACCTGTTTCACATGGTTTGCTGTTTCTGGGTCGGACGTGTTTGGCCCAGTTTCATGGACCTCCAAGCTCCAAGTTGAAAAGCCTAGGATACGCCAAAGGGAGAACCCTCCCTCCCCATACTGCCACAAATTTCTGCACTCTTGTGGCAACTTGGTGGGCAAGTTTTTGAATCCACGGGTGGGGCGCATCAACCGCAAATTCAGGTTGGAGGTCCATGACGCCAGGTGGGTTTCTGTGGGTCAAAACCCAATGATACCATTTTGGGCTAGGTGAATTCACCAAAAAAATTAGTCCTATTTTAGTGGGGATTGGGATGTTCACTGGGGGTACGATTTGGATTTTGACCCATGACGCCCCCGCTAAAAGAGGTTCTAAAATGGGTGGTGAATTCACCTACCAACCAAAATGGGATCCCAAAACGGTTTTGACCCACAGCCAGGTGGGTTTCTGCGTGCCCTCCTTGCCCCCAGCGCCTGTGGTGATCAAGAAGGTCTCCCCCGGCACCTGGGCTGCGGACCAAGAGCTCCGCACAGGGGACGTGCTCATCGAGCTGCTGCTGGACGGTGAAATGGGGCTGGGTTGGGGGGAGGGAGCCACAAGTCTGGGGCTACCTTCCCAAATCTTCTTTTCAAGGATCCTTCTTTTCAGAAAACCATCAAAATGTAGGGAAACAGCTAGGGCAGGGGACGTGGAGAGGCCCTAGATTTTTCGGGCTGGGTGGGTCCCTCCCCCTCCCTTCCCCCCCCCCCCCCCCCAGCCCACATCATTGTCACCTGTGTGTGTTTTGCCAAAGCAAAGCCGACCTTTTGGCCCGTGACTTTCCCCAAAAATTGGCCACGTGTGGTGATGGCTCCAGAAGTGTTTGTTCGGTTGGGGAGGGATGTTGAACTTGCTTGCCTAGGAACGACTTCCAGACCAGTGCCTTGGCTGAAAGTGGCACTCAAAACTCTACTCAGCTACTGCCGGGAAAGGAGCATCGGACAAGCGAATACCGAACAACCCTCTCGGAGGTGCCAAGGCCGCAGCAGAGGTGTCGTCGTCTTCCACATCGCTGTTGACAGCCACCGCAAAAAACGACCCGGCGCACAAAGTCTATCCGTGACAAGCTGCTCCAACTTGCTGACATGCGCGCTCACGGCGTGCCGACTTTCGACCAAGCAGCGCCTCGCGATCAGCTCGCCGAGAAGATTGTTCGTGACGAGAAGACGCCGGGGAAAAAATGCTACGGGGTCCCGGGGTGGGCGTCCATTGGGGCCAGGGGCGGGGGGGAACCGGGGAGAAACCACCTTAATCAGATTATATTCCCCTCCCCCCACTTCCCCGCCCAAAATGCTTCCTTCCACATCCAAGGTTTAAGCAACATTGCTCGGGGCTCAGGTGAGATGTCGACTCAGCAATTCTTGAGCACCATGGATACGCGGCCGCTGCGCTTCAAGTTCATCGTGAACCCGCTGAAGTCTGCCTCTTTGCGGAACTTGTTTGAGGGCGAGGGTGTTGGGGGTCTCAGCTTAAACGGAAAGCCGAAGCGAAACCAAAGGGAATCAAATAGAAACAAACAAGAAAATAACCAAAAGGAAACCCAAAGGAGGAACCACCTGTTTTGTGCTCCTACATTTTCAATATTGAGTTTTGTTAGAAGCAGGTTCATGGGGCCCACCGTCTGACCCCAGACCTCATGCGGGATGGCTGGACTGCCATCCCTGAGGTGTGGTTTAACAGTCCTCTAGCGAGTTTTGGTTTGTCACAAGGGTGCCACTTGATTGCCAGATGTGCGAATTGCTAGCCCTTTCTAATCCCATTGTGTGATCATTGGTCAACCGCATCCTGTAATTGGCGCCCTTGTCAGTATTTTATTGTTGCCCAGTTGCACAAATCGACTTGACCTTGAAATCTATGGATCTTGTAGTGCTGCCCAATTTTGCCGTCCTGGTGACCAAGGCTGCGTGTCAATTATTGTCCGGCCCTTGGTAGTACCATGAGTACTCAATCAAATTGCATATCATGGGAGTACTCCAAATCCATCAATGACACAAGATATCAAGGTAGAAGATGTCGAGCGATACTGTCATATTGATTGGCGGGATGCCTTCTCGATGCATTTCTCCTTCTCCTACCATGTTGGGCAACGAGTCAGAAGTGTCGGCGAAATAAGGCAGCAACCGCGTGCCAGGGAGGTATTCCTGGGGCAAACAGTCATTCTCCTGTCGTCTTTTCCCCCGTCCAAGCTCCAGCGGTCCTGCTGGTTCAGGCTATCGCTGAACGCGAAGTCACGCCGGACGGTGCCGGCCCCGGGACACGGATCCGGGCGCGAGCCCATCGGCCGTGGGTGCACTGACGAGCAGTCTTTGGAATGGGTATGTTTGTTTGGCAGAATCAAACTTGCACCGGAAATTGTTGTGTGTCCCATGATTTCCTCAGATCTGTCCGTGCGTATGTGAGTAGAAGGGGCGGCAAGCTGCTGTGCTGGTGCAAGAGGTTTGCCGGAGCCGCTTCTGACATCGTGGTGCATTTGAAATCTCACTTGCCAAAAATATAAAGGGGTAACAGCTGATGTAGAGCCACCTGAGCAACAACAAGGTCACCACAAGGGGCTGGATAACCTAAGTTAGGGTCCTAGAAAACAATCTCACATTAAACCGGCCTCTTTGGGTTCCACGTTGGCCGGGAGGGCGTAACATTTTGTGTCAAAAGCTGCAAGTCTTTTCTGCAAAAGCCAACCTCAATCCTTATGCCGCGTGGTTAGTTGTTCCTCCGGTTCTGCTGGTGTCCTACTACGGGTTGCGGAGTATGATTACACCTGGGTAAAAGATGGCACAGGTCCCTTTTGTTTGTTTCAATTGCCATCTACTTTCCTGAAATCAAAGCGTGATAGTGCCTACCCCAATGAACCATGGGGTGTGTAGCAAACCGGGGGGAAAAAGACAAAAAGCAGCGAACTTTCTGGGGGTGGACGTGGGACCCCCTTTCCCCCAGTTTGCGCCGCACCCGAGGCAGCGAAGCATCTGCTTCGGAAGGCTCCTGCGACGAGGCGGGGGTGCGGATGTCCTAGGGACTTGAGGAATGGAATGAGCCCCCTGTCATTGAACAAACCCTAGGTCCCCCAGTAGTGCCCTTTTACCGTTTCTTTTCTAGGGGGAGGAAACCCCCTACTAAAATAGACTACAGAAAAAAGTGTACCCTTATTCTAACCTCTCTACTGGAGGACCTAGAATCCCTTATGGGTTCCTAGGGAACCCCAAAACGGTTCAGTCCCAAAACCGTCAGGTAAAATGCGAACAGGGGCGATCGTGTACTCAGGTGGTTAGCACGCCTGGTGGGATAGCCCATGATAGCCCACAAAAGCCATGGTTTTTTACGAGTCTCCGTTCAGTAAATTGATTAACTGGCCACTGAGTACATTGCCCCTTTAGGTAGGACTTTGTTTGGCCTTGTTTGGCAAGAAGTGGTTAGTAGCACGTGTTTTGGTGAAATGTTCACCTCGGGCTGGTCTCCCAAACATGGCCCATGATTTTTTCATTCATAGACAGCCAAAGTTTCCGACTTTGAGCAGCCCCCTTTCACAGACAAAATCCCACATTTTTCCGTTGGAACTCAGCTCCGACCTGTTCCCCAAGTCAATGACATCCTCTAAATCACTTTTTTGCATGGGTTCCCCATGCATGGTTGGCCCCAGAAAGGTTCCCGTGTTGCTTTTCTGTGGTTGTGGGCGAGCAAATGCACTCAACCTCGCAAAGGGCTTTGGTGAAGCCGTCCACGCCTGTGCAAGCCGCAGGCGGAGCCAACCTCTACGTCCTTTCCGCGGGGGAGTGTGTCGGACTGGTACGCGGAGGAGCCAGCGAACCGCCCCCAAACGCAGCACCCCCCCAAACACGCTGGAAGACTCAAATGGGTGTGGGTCACCAGGGGACCCAGGTTGTAGTCCTGGGTTCCATTTGCCAGGTTCCATTTTGGGTACCCATTTTTGACCAGCCAAATAGATGCAAACTGAAAGTGTGTTTGGGTGATAAGATGCAGCTATATGATGCCCTACTTCCAACTGGCACGTTTTGGGGCTTCTCAAATGCATCGGTTTGGTTGGACGTAGGTGGGCTCCTTTGGTCTCAGGCTGGGCCTGATTTGTGTGCCAGTGTCGTCCATGTGTTGAAAAAACACACCTAGGACTGTAGATTAAGTTTCAAGTTTAGAAGCCAAGCACTACATGGCCTTGAGGCCATGTCTGTGTTTTTGCTCTTAGAGAAGAAGTTGACCTGGGTTTTGGGATGAGGTCGAAGTCGAGTTTCTCTTTTCAAGGCAGTTTTGCCCTAGTTCGCTGTGCCAGCGCTCAGTTGTTCTGCAACTTGGCCCAGAACCTGGCTCATGCGGCTATGTGTGGGACCTCTCTCGAAATCAGTTTGCATTTTGAGGTTCACCAAATGTGGACAAGAATCAAACATATTTTCTTGGGTTGGGCAAAAGGTGAGGTAGATGTGACAAGAGGGCAACTCCAAGAGTTTTGCTTCTTGTTGCTCCGGGCTGCTCGGAAAACGATGATCAAAAGCCGTTGATGGGTAAACGATGTCCTTGGTTTCCCTGCCCAGTTGCCAAGGTTCTAAGAAAGCTTGTGCCGACCGGAACCATGTTCTAGTCGATGTAGCCGCACGTCAATGGGTGAAGACAATAGGTAGTACACTGATCAACGTAAGAGTTGAATGTATCAAACCCGGGCTTCGCGCATTTGGGGAATCGCCACTTCGCCTGCCAGCTCCCAATTGCAGGACTTTGAGAAAAGTTTGCGGGCCTTGGGAAAATTCTTGGGGGTCGAATTATTCCCTTGCAACACTTGCAGCAGACCTCAAAGCCTCCGGGCCCTCGGTTTCTTCCAGGCACGACCCGGTCTTCAGAAAAGGCCGTGGTTCCCTTTCCACGAAGACATAACGCAAGCACTTTGCAATAAGGCAGGTTGCCCTGTCATCAGTGGGTACCTGCCCGCTTTGGTTGCAGACATTCGCATGATTTCCATCCCTTTGCAAGAAGGGGATACTGTCGAGTCACAGTGGACGAGACGGAGGTTTCACAAAGAGCGCCTTCGGGCGCCGCGCTAAGGAGAACGGACCCGGGCTGCACTCACACGTGGGGTGCAGTCTGAAGAAAGAGACGGGTGGTTTTGAACATCCCCTTTTGGGCAAGTTTCTAAGGAGTTGCCTTTCGCGGGGTCTTGGAAACATGTTCGCAAACGCCTCCACTTGGGGTTTGCAAGGATGGCCATAGGATGGGCATCAAAATCCCAACAGGGGGCTTAGACAACCACAATTTCGCCTGGAACCCAAACTAAAGCTAAAACTTCGGCAAGGGTTTTGTGGATTTTAGGGTTCTTGTGCTCTAATAAGATCAGGAGCCCGCCGGGGCTGGCGAAGCCCGTAAGGCGTGTGCTGGCGCGTCGATCCGGGCAGACTCGTTCTGAATTTAAACGAAAGGAGCCCAGTCGTTTTCGGGCCCATTTCCAAAGAAACATCCCCCTGCGCATGTTCTCTTTTAAGTGCGTGAGGTTGAACTCCCTAGAGTATTTGTTTAAATGGAGAAAGGGTCGTCTTCCCTCGGGTTGGGTCACATCAGTTAAGAACCCATTTTGTATCACTTGCGATTGCGGTGTTTCCTCTTTTTCTTTCAAATGGGTTCTGGAGAATGCCTTTGTTTTGTAGAGGTTGCATGCCTCTTGTGTTCGTTGCACGCCATGTTGAGGGGTTGGGCATGGACACGTTATTTTGTAGAAACGAGGTTTGGTTACTTCTGCATTTGGTAGGGCTTGAGACTGCAGATGACCAAACTGGGTTGCCGCTCATGTATGTTCATGATAGATGGGTTGCACATGTTTTGCTTGTTGGATTCCCCACTAGACATGGCTGAGGTGTAGAGGGCCCATCGCAGGGCCTTTTTTGTGCTTTAAAGTATGCTCGCTACATATGTATAGATATAGTTCACATATTTTCCCGACAGACTGGGTACCCATCCCATTCGGAACACTGGTAGGATTCGGAACTTGGCACCCACCCCTGTATACAACATTTGGATCTCAGGGGTGGCTCCAATGACAAAGATCCCTAGCTCAAGTGACAGCATTTGGTAGCGACCACTTGGTCGAAAAGTGCCACGTCCCAAGCAAGAACCCGCCTCCTCATTTGGTAGGGTCTTTGGCACGTCCCCAATTCTATACTGTGAAATGGCTGTTCCACCCCCACCCCCTAAATGCACGGGCGGATCCCCGCCCCTAAATGAATTATCAGGGCCCGGAAAAAATGGGGTCCCAAGCACAGCAGAAACCCAGACTGCTCCCCAAGAGAGCAGCCTCAACGAGGTCGTTGACCTGGGATTCCTTTAGAAATACAATGGTTGTTGTTGGGGAACATTTTATATTTTTGCTTATTGTGGTTTAGTGGTTGAATTCCAAATCCACATAGACACCATGGAACGTTTTGACTTGTGAGGTTTTGAGGGCCCGGTTCCCCGAAACTTCTGAAAAATGGTGCTAACTTGCGGGCGGGAAGTATGTTACATTTTGAGGCACATTAAATTTGGACCAGAATCAAACATCATAGTCTTGATTGGGGGGAATTGCTGAGGTAGCTTCGCCTGCCGTTTTGGCTCAGCCCGTGGTCTCCAGTGGTGCCGGCTGATCCCTTGTTTCAAGGGGGGGCCAGGTGGTCAGCTTTGACTTTTTGCCTCCTCGGTGTTTCTTCGTGTTCCATTTCAGCCAACGAAAAGTTAGACTTGTTGGATTTCCAGGGTCCTCCCTCCAATGGAGCTGTCGGCAGGATTCGGGTCTGGGAAAGCAAGCATTCGTTAAGTGGGGCATTTGTTAGTAACTTAAAGAAGCGGGATTTGGGTCTGGGAAAACAGCACACCTGTTAAACAGGTGCATGTGTTACTGTAACAAGGGAACATATGGGTTTGTCCTTTTTTGGTGTGTTGAGTTGCTTCAAAAGGCAGAAGGTGGGACCTCCCCGAATCATACCCCCGAATCATACCCCGAATCATACCCCCGAATCATACCCCTTAAAACGTATGCTGCAAGATGCTACTGTTCTTCTACCGTTTTGTGTTGTTCACTGCCTCCACAACAACCACCACCAGCGCTACCCAATACTACCACTACCACTACCACTACCACTACTACTACTACTACTACTACTACTACTACTACTACTACTTCTACTACTACTACTACTACTACTACTACTCCAATACTATACTGCTACTACCACTACTACTACTACTACTACTACTACTGCTGCTACTACTGCTACTACCGCGACTACGAGTATTACTACCACTACTACCGCTACTACCGCTGCTACTACTACTCTACTGCTTCTACGTCTGCTTCTGCTACCCTTACTACTTACTGCTACTACTACTACTACTACTACTACTACTACTACTACTACTACTACTTCTACTTCTACTTCTACTTCTACTATTCCTGCTGCTGCTGCTGCTACTACTCACTACTACGACATACATCATGCTGAGTCTGTAGTCAGTGCCGTTTTGCACCTAGCCGAATCATACCCGCGAATCATACCCGAATCATACCCGGACAATGAGCTTCCCCTGCCAAGGCTAGTGCCAAGTCTTTTCAAAGCGTCCGCACCACTACTACTACCACTACTACTGCTACTACTACTGCTACTACTACTACTACCACAGCTACTACTACATTCATCATTCTGAGTTTGTAGTCAGTGCCGTTTTGCACCTAGCCGAATCATACCCGCGAATCATGCCCGAATCATACCCGCGCAATGAACCTGCCTTGCCAAGGCCAGCGCCAAGTCTTTTCAAAGCTTCCGCGCCACTACAGTCGCTGCTTTTACTGTTGCTACTACTACTACTACTACTACGACTACTACTACTACTACTACTACCTCTACTACTACTACTACTACTACTACTACTACTACTACTACTACTACTACTACTACTACTACTACTACTGGTATTAGTACTACGACTACTACGATTACTGCCACTACTACTGCTACTACTACTACTCCTGCTACTAGTACTGCAACTACTACTGCTACTACTACTACTATTGCTACTAGTACAATACTACTACTACTACTACTACTACTACTACTACTACTACTACTACTACTACTACTACTACTACTACTTCTTCTTCTTCTTCTACTACTACTACTACTACTACTACTTTGTTACTACAACAATACTACTACTAGTACTACTACTTCGACGACCTTCGACGACTACTGCTACTACTACTGCTGCTGCTGCTGCTGCTTCCGCGAATCATACCCCCGAATCATACCCCGAACCATACCCGCGAATCATACCTGCGAATCATACCCCGTACTCAAACCTTCCTGCCCGGCCCCCGTAAAAAAATACAAACCCATATTACTCATGACAGCCATTAGAACCCCCCTTCCCCACAAGAACCCTTCAGAAACCTTCTAAGCCTTCTCAGAAAATTCATTGGACTTGTTTTACATTCAATTTTCTCTAACCATGGTCACCGACATTTGGGAAATGAACTTGCCCAGTGCCCCAGGCGAGCTTGACCAACTGGTACTTGGACGGCGAGAAGCTGCCTGACACTGGCAGCCGCCTGACGACGATGCACCGCCTATCCTTCACTGTGGAGACAGGAGACTCTCCGTTAGGCCGACCGTTTCACCTTCCGCCGTTGTGGTCCACTTTTAGTGCAGGTCCCAAATTGTTGACCATGGTTAACCTCTAATTTCTAGGTCCCTTGGGCATGTGCGGTCTGACGCATGACCAAACTCCAAAATGTGTTGTTTCTTGTGGTTTTGGTGTTCAAAGCAACCTTCAAAAGGGTGTGAAAAGAGGCACTCTCATTCCCCACCTCAACCAATTGCAATTTGCTGGCGAGCTGCAAGGAAATGTTCTTTTCCGGAAACAACACGTCGGGATCCCTGTTTGACAGGGCGTTGGACAATATGGCAGTTCCTTGGCGGTGGAGGGGGTGCGTTTTAGTCGGTGCAAAGCCGAGTTGCACTTGTGAATGACCTCTGTTCGAGCGGTTGGTTGGGATGTCAACAGTTGCGAAGAAGTGAAAGATTGCAGGTCAAGTCGGTTGCACTTCTGTTATCTCATAGGATGCAACGCTCCTCTAACACCGCCCTCTTTTCCCAAACGTAAGACTCTAGCGTACTCAGGCCTGGAGACCAGGAGGGGAAGGGGAGTCAGGGAAGGTGCAGAAAGAAAACCGAGCGACCTATCAAAGCGATGGAGGCTGACACGCGGTTGGCAGGACACATCCCAGAACTTACAAAGCTTCCTACCTGCAGCACGAGCATCAACATGGGGTGTTTCCCTAAACGAGGCACGCTTTGTAAACTTGCTTGTTATGGGTCATTGTCCACGACCATACTCACCAATATCCTTTACGAGTAGGGATTGTCAGGGACGCCCAAAACAACTCATTTTGGGGGACTCCCATATGCCAAGACAGCCCATGTGGCTTCCAGGGACCCCCCTTTGAAGAATGACAATTGTTATTGAAAAGAAAAATCATCCAGGGGCAGTGAAAGCGGTCGTTAGAGAGGAGCCAACTTTGGTTGACCACCTGCACGCCTGCCAAGTTGTTCAGCACCGTTTTTCCTTGTTTGGCGTGCACCAATCCACCCCAACAAAAGTGTTGGCCCCCGAGTCCGCTGAGTCCCACTGCAATGTCAGGAGGCGACTCGGAGCTGGGCGGGTCCTTGCAGACGGCCGTGGAGACGGAGGAACCCAACTTACGGGCGCCTGAGGGTTGATTCGCCCATGGACACAATGTTTTCGTGAACTTAATGGTTCCAACTGAATAGTAAACCCCCCCTTGTCCCTCCCCCCCCTTCAAGGTCGACAAGGTTTGGACAAGTCCCCAAAACAATTTGTTTGGAGGACCCCCCCCCCGATTAATTTGGGGGCCCTTCAGTTCTCGTCCTCTTGCTTCTGGCCCTTTCTGGGCAATAGAAGTTCAACAGACAACAGCAGTTGTTTTTGGTTTCGACCAGCAGTGTAGGCGCTTCCACTGTCTTCGTGGGAGGGTTTGGAGGTGTTTTTTGAGGCAAAATCTGCGCGCACCTTTTCTCGCTGAAGTTTAGGGAAGATTCATTCGGACCCTCGCGCGCGCCTAGACAGGTTCCCAGAGCTCTTCAGCCCCACACCTGCCGGGCGGGGAATGCAGATTGCATGCTTTGGTTGTGGCGTAGTCGGACTTCCTGGTAATGCAAACAACCGTTTTTTTCTGGTCATACGGCTTTGTCAACAAAAAACGGTCAAATGACATTCCAGGGGTCACTTGAGGGAATCCCAGAAGCATCGGACACACAGACTGTTTTGGCTCAAAGCAGCAACCCTCAAGCGCATCCGTCGTGCGCCTGGGCCCCAGCGTGCTGGTTTGGCCAATTCCCCGGAAACTATCAGGCATCATTGATGCCTTGTTGTGGCTTTTGCCACTCGCGGAATGCCCTAGTGACATACCTTTGCAACACCCGCATGGCCGTAGCCATTGGGGAGACGCGCCGGGACAATCGGGCTGTATGCCCTACGAAGTCCTTAGGAAACAAACAAAGCTCAATCAAGATTGATGATGCGCCTTGCAATTCACACGTGTTTTGAGCCAAGGGTCCTCGTCCATTTGAACGGATTCCGCCAAGACGTTGTACGTCCAGCGGTTGAGGGATGAAGAGTGAAGTAGTTGCCGAAAGTGATGGTCTAGCATGTGGTGCTTAACAAACAATGGAAACCTGAGGCGACCAGCATTGAAGGTAATCATGGAAAGCTCGGCGTGAAGCTGAAGCCAGCGGCGCCCCAGTGTTCCAATTCGGTTGGCCTCCACACAATCAAGCCAAAGACCTCCTCGGTACAGCAGGCGAAACGCTTCGTTGATGCTGCGGATTGCCTCAAGCATGCGGGACAGGATGTCATGGGACTGGCACGTTTGCTCGAAGCAAGTGAGTAGCCACTCCATGAACAAGTGGTAGACATAGGTGTCCGCATGCTTGGACCAACAAGCGTCCGGGCAGACTTGATAAGATGTTAGGCCGATCCTTTCCTTCACAAACCCACCGCTGTGTGGCATGCGGGAACTGGTTTGCCGGCTCCAACGCCTCAGGTGCTCGTCCATGTGCGCCACCCTGTCGTCCATGGACCCTTCAGGCAGGAGACAGAATGCTTCAACTAAACAGGACGCGATAAAGGACTGTCCTGCCCCGCCATGGTAATTGTGCCAAATATCCGGCTTGAAGTAGGTTTCAGGGGCTGCGCTGTCGTGCAAAAGGTCAAGCACTACAGGTCGTTGGCTCCAAGGCTCAGGGGCATGGGTAGTGGCCCAGGCGCAGGATGGGTTAAAGTCTTCATACGGGCATCCGTTTTTGCCAGCAGGACAAAGCCAGCAAACCCCTTTCCCTTGAGAGGACTCTTTGCGCGTTGCCCGGAGGTAATGCCGAGATAGTTTGCCAGTCTTGGCTAAGAATGGCATGTCCCCCTTCAAGCCCAGCACCACAATGTGCCAGGTCTCCCCTTTCCAATCAAATCCGGCCTCCAGGCTCTTGAGGTCCCTAGTCAGAAAGCTCAGCAAAGCGTCATAGTTCTTTGCGCTTTTTTGGTAGAACTGTTTTGGCATGCAAGCGTAAAGAAGACGGGTGCTGTAACTGCTGCCGGCTATGTTGACCCCCATCCTTTGTCTCCGGGATTGGGGTTTGCAACGTTTCCAGAAACACCTTGTGCCACGGCCAAGTGCCCCCTGAAGACTCAATAGCAGGACCCCTGATTTCTTCAATCCGCGACCTTCATCGCCATGAACGTAAGCCGGGAAAGTGCGGCAGAGCCGCAGGCGGCCTGCCAAGGCAGACTCGTAGACTTGATGGGATGGAGAAACATGACTGTATCGCCGCCAGAACTCTTGGAGGGTTGTCTCAATTTCATTGTTGGGCAGCTCACCGCATAGCTTACCCATATTGTCACTAGCTGCCAGATAGCTGATCATGCCGGACGGGGGGAGAACCGGAAATGATGAGCCGTCAGGAAGAGGCATCCACTGAATGTCTACGTCCAGTGCTAGGCGGCATTTCCGGAACCTTGGAACCCAAACTAAATCGAGCACACTCAAAACGCCGCACTGCGCGCACTAATTTGCTGCAAAGTGGCAACTTATGGCATTTTGTCTCGGCTCTTTCAGCACGACACTTGGCAAGGCCAGCTGTGACAGGGCAGGAAGTTGCCCCGAAATGTTGCGTAGCAGCCTTTGCCATCTCGTGCACTGAAACTGCAGAAGCCTGAGCATCACGGTTTGTTTCCCCCGAAACAGGCAAAGGGACACCACCAAGAAAGGGCTTAGCCACCCCCCTTGAAAGAGACCCGTTTGGAAGTTGTAAAGGACTAATTAGTTCATCAGAAAAGCAAAGGGTCGGAACGACGAGACACCCCATTGGCAATGCAGTGCGCTGCGTGTTGTCCAAGTGGTCCGACCCGACCTGGCGAGAGGCCGATGATGCTACTTGAGCTGCGTGGTCAAAAACATGCCGACTGCCAGCAGAGGCGGGCTGCAACTGTTTTCAGCCATCGAGACACGCGATGTTAGCCTGCGCATCTGACCCCTGGGCTGTAGAGTTGAAATGCTACCAGGCACCATACAGCTACTTGTTCTTTCGGCGCTTTGTCTTGGACTTAGCGGCGGGTTTGGCATCATTTTTCTCAGTGTCTTCCCCAGGGCGCTTCTTCATTTGGCGAAGCTCCCTCAAAAGAGGCCTCGGCAATTACCAAAATGTTTGTCCGGCAAACCCTATGGCAACTTTGGCCCGTGCTGAGCGTTGGATTCTGCACGAGTCGCTTGGCTTCCCCTCAGGAAAAACCATGGGCAAGCAAACCGTGCTGCGGCTCACTGAAGTCAAGCGGCAAAACTTCGGCTGTCTCTATGTTCTTCTCCGCGAGCTCAATGTGCCTTTGATGGAAACATGGTCAACAATCCTCTTCGCACTGACACCTGTGTGAAAATGTTCAATCAAGGGCGCGCTGACAGCAGTGGCCCGCGAAACGCCTTAGCCTTCGCCAAAATTTTGGCAAGCACATCGTAATGGGCATCCATCTCCTTCTGGATTGCGCTTGCCGATTCAGCCACCCTGAAAAGTGGCTAAGAAAGACCAGTCAGTGGGTCAAAACAGCCCCGCCTCACGGAACGCTCGGATGACAGCTCTGCCATCTTACTGTCCATGTCTCCCATTTTTGCCGCCCTGGCCAGGATGGCGTCCATGGTCTTTGTGAGCATCGTGGTGACGTCCTGCCGTTCAACAAGGCAGCGCCGCAGGTACCATTTGGTCGGAGTGCGAAATCTTTCCGCAAGCAAGGGGGAGGGGAATACTAAAGCATAGGTTGTGTATTCATGTGTATGTATATACACATGTGTATATTATATATCTACATGTGTATGTGTATAATTCATGTACCACTCTCGGCGAAAATTTGGGCTTTGTGCCAAATCCCCCAAACTTTGAGGGGCCGAGCGCCACATTGCAAACTCCCCCCTCGTGAGCAAGTTGCAGAATCCCAGCAACACCCCAGCAACCCCCCTTCCCCCATCACCCCGCCCAGCATCACCCCCAGAGTCACCAGCAACACCCCCAGCATCACCAGCACCACCTCCTTTGAGGAGGCTTCTCAAATGGGAACTAAATTAGTTCCCGCTTCAGGCGCCGCGAAGCATACAAACACACCAGCAACACCAGCAATGTCCCCAGCATCACCAGCGATATCCCCAGCATCACCAGCAACACCCCCAGCGCAGCATCAACACCCTCCTTTGAGGAGGCTTCCCAAGTGGGAACTAAATTAGTTCCCTGTTCAGGGCAAACAGATTAGCAGCACCCCCCAGCAGCACCCCCAGCATCACCGGCAACACCACCTGCTCCACCAGTAGATGTTGAGCTATATATATATATACATGTATATATATATATATATACATGTATATATATATACATGTATATATATATATACATACATATATATATATATGTATATTTGCATATACACATATACATATATTTAAAAATATATCTACATATAAATACACTTACATATATTACAGATAGAACCACTGTACCCCTTCCCAAATGGGTATACTAATTTAGTACCCGTTCTCGGGAATACTTCAAGTTCCCCTGAGCAGCGATGTTCGTCTAAGAGGTGCAAATTTGTTTCCTTGTCCTGGTTTGGTATTCCTTTGACCCTAAAAGACGGCCCTCGCCAAAACAAACCTATTTGGAGGGGGGCCCTACTGTCGACCAGATATCTTGGCACGAACCGAACCATCCTTAACACGGGGAATGGATAGTTGAGGATTCCTCAAATATTGAGAACAATGTCCTCCTGCTCAGCTTCTGCAGGCGGCGCAGCTTCCTTTGGCACGCTTGCTTCCTTCGGTTGATCTGAAGTCAGATCTACGTCGAAATTGGTAGGGCATCCAGGGCGCAGGGATTTCTTCATCGGGGGCGCGGCAGCAGCTGCTGCTGCGCCTTCTTGGGTGCGCTGAGTTTTGGTTGCCAAGGACTGCGAGAGGGACCCGGTCTCTTCAGCATCATACCAATGTTTGATGACGTTCGAATCGTATTTCCAAGGCCTCAGGGCAGAGAAAACAAAATAGCGCGAACTAGGTGCATGCTTGGGGGCAGGCTTGCGGCATTCTGGATGTTTCTCCGTGAAGCTGACAATTGCTTTGATCTCTGACCTGGGTTGACAGTGTTTG